GGCCTGCATTCCTGCCTTTTTGTAGGCTTCGTGATGACTGGAAACCCCAGCCTGCAACATAGATATTCGCTTACAGAAACTGCAGACACTCACGACGAATGCGACGCCCACAACGTCCTACACTATAGCAAGAAAGTAATTATGGCAGTCCGAAGCTCAAACGAGATGAAATTCCAAAGACGGTATTTATTGTTTGCAAGGGGCTGAAACTCAAATTTCGAAAGTATAGACGACGTTCGAAGACGAACTTCGATCACGAAGGCAAATTTCAGCCGAAGACGAAACCCGGCCTCACGAAACAGTGAAGACGAAATTGGACCCGAAGATGAAACTCGCCACCATGCACTCTGGACCCCAAGTGCGGGAGCTCGAAATTCGACAGCGAAGACCACGTTCGGTCCCGAAGCGAAGAATCGTTTAGGCGTCAGGGAATTCGAGCGAGGATTCTGGCGCCGGGAACGGGGTCAGGTACCGCGGACTGGAGGGACAGTCCTCAGATCTGGCGCTGGCCTGCCCCCCAACCTGAAAAGTTCTTGATTGAAATGAGAGAAGGTGACATAAGAGCCGCGCACCTGCCAAAACGAAGTCTTCCAGGCCCATGAAAAACAGAACAAGAAGCAAAATGAAATCTTCCATGCCTCTTAAAAGGAAAGAATCGGATGGAAGAAGGAAAGAAAGCGAAACTTCTCTGACAAAGCCTCTGCAAAGCTCTTGGGAAGAGTTTCTTCCGTAGAGATGCTCTATATGCTTTGCCTATTGGTCTGCATGCTTTGGTCAGTATGCGGGCTTCCTGCGGCTTTGTGGGCTTTCGTGAATACTGGAAACCCCGGCCGGATGCTGCACGTAGCCGATGCAACATAGACACTCACTTGCAGAAGCTGCAGAAGTTCAAGACGAATGCGACAGTCCACATGCAGCAACTCTTCGACATCCGAAGCTGCATCAGGAAAGCAAAAGCCAGCAGAAACTGTTCTCTTTCGAGTGTGAAAATACTTGAAAACTTGTCGATGTACGTCACAAGCTAGCCCGAAAAAGTACCTCAAAGCATATTGATTGAACGGACTGACCTTAGGGAGCCGGTGTGGGGCGCCCGCTTGCTTACCAAGTTTCATTCGCAGGTCATAGACTGAGAGGTTCTCCAAGACCCGTGCCATGTCCTTTTGCGGGAGATCCTTCCAAACATCAAGGATTTTGTGGTGGTTCGTTGCGCTTGTGACCCAAGCGCACCCGCTTCCCATACTCGCATCGGCGAATGGCATGTCGCCGACTGCAGTGCAGCCCAAAGTTGAACGCATATGTTTCGAAACTCACCTTCTCATGGCACCTTCACACTGTTCAGGAAGTTCACACTGCGCAAGACAAACCGCTTGAGCCTCATGGCATGCCTTTCTGCAGCCCTCATGGCTGCAAGATGCTGCAAGGAACGACTGCCCCCCTGGTACAGGGTCTAGAAACAGCAGGAAACGGTATGCACTTTGGAATTCTAAGCTTCTCCGTCAGCGAAACTGCAAGCCCCACAAGCAAAAAACAACCTTACAAAGCCCTGAATTACCCTGAGAAGCCGCGTGCAAAAAACTCGCAAACACCCTCAAAGACCTTCAGCGAAGCCCCGAAGTGGCCAAGCTGGCGTGCCAAGACCTGACCGCAGCATCCAACGAATTTGAATCAAGCATGTGATCGAGCCCTGATGCCCATCGTTTAAAGCTGTTTAGACGATTTAAATTCATCTCAGACAACGAAACCAATCATGTAAATCAACGCTTACATGATTTAAACGACTTCAGTACACCTCCGATTTAGATCTTTAAACACTGTAAATCATTAAAGCATTAAAAACTCATGCCCGAATTTTTTACATGATGCAAGATGTTTACAGAATTTAAACGGTTTACTCGGCGCTATCTCTGAGTCTGAGCAACTGAGCGCGGCTGCACTGTGAACCAGCACATCATCGGGACCATCCCCCAGCAGTACTGGAACTACAGGGCGCCATCCCAATTCACCAGCCGACAAAGGAAAGGTTGAGATCTGAATGATAGTTTTCTGCTTCCACAAGTTTGGCAAACGTCGAGGGGCATTCGTGAGGAACTCTTCCCGGCCCTGCCACACCACTCGAGCATGTATCCAGTCACCCAGCACACGCAACAGCATGACATCTAGCGGCTCCAGCGCATGCCACAGGTCAACAACCGCGTTCTCCAATACTGGGCACGACGTTCCGCACCATCCACGCACACTCCCAAGCCAAACCAACTTGCATTGCCCTCACGCACCCGCACGGCAACTGTCACCGAGCCCGCCACGGTGCCCTGCACACACCGCCGGCTCCACATCTGCTCTGACGGAGCACAGACAACAACATTTTAAGCGGTTTAGGTGGTTTCATTGCGCTTTCAAACTGTTGTTTTGAGACAACAAACGTCACGCCGATGAAGGATCCGACGCTCGCACCCGCTTTCATTCTGCTTCCGCTTCGGTGCCAAACGAATACTGTCCCTTCATTCGAACGGTCCGCAAGGGTTTGTAGCGACCCGCCGCTCGGCATCACAGGTTGTGATCCTTTGAAGTACCGAAGGGTGCGATCGTATGTGTCCCAACGATCACATGCATGTCGACTGAAAGGGAAAAACTGGCAGAAGAAGAGAACGATTCTCCCGCCCTTGCGGGAGACAACATATTCTCCCCACGCCAAAATGGCACACAGATATTCATCAATATTATATATATATATATATAAATATATATATATATATACAGATGCATGCCATTGTTGACGGGATTCCTAGCGTTGTCGCTACACAAGTGGAGTGTGATTCACGACAGCAAACGTCACGCTGATGAAAAATCCAACGAGGCACTCGTGCACACTAAGACCTTGTCTGAACCACAATGGCATGCACACACACAGAGACATATTTTCGTGCCACGCATGTAATCCGACCTGTGTCACTACACACAGGAGAGTGTTTCACAACAGTTGAAGATGTAAACGCGCCTCCGGTTAAAATCATTGATGTAAGTTGACCATGTAAACTATTGAGAAGCTGTTAGTTCATTCTGGGTTGTCCCGGTTTGTGGTTAGGGCCTGGCTTTTCGAGACTTCGCAAGAGCTCAACAGTTTGTAAAGGATTTAGATGATTTGGTTGCGTCTCCGATTTCAATCATACATCACCTGAATCATTTAGAGCCCCCGTGAAGTTTAATCGCGCCACCCGAGATAATTCATTCAAATCCGGGTGGAATTCAATCATTTCAACCAGAGCCCGTATGGATGATTCAAATGATCCAACTGCGTTTAAATCGTTTAAACCATCTAGAAAGTTTTACTTCTGGGGTGTCCCGTTCAAGACTTCGGGTGAATCGCCTCAGGTTTACATACATTTACAATCATTTACATCATTTAACTCATTTGACTTGTTCAAACCATGTAGAATCGATGAACGTATCGGTATACTTGGCCCGGTAAAAAACTCTCCTGAAGCCAGCATTCGATCTACCAGCCTCAGCCAGTCCCACTGGCCGCAATCGGCTGATACCGTGCTGCACCAGTGTGGAGATTTCATAATAATCCGCCGGGGCCGGAGGCCTGAGGCGTTTAGATCCAAGTCTAGGGAACCACCAGGAAGTGCACACATTCCTGGAGGCCGAGTTTTTTTTGGTGCAGTATTCGATTTGTATCCAGTTTTCGACCCCAACCCACCCCCACCCCCCCCCACCCCACCCCCCCAGACGCCGGAAGCCCAAACCCCCGTAGCCCTCGCCCTCAGCCCTCTCAGCCCTCTCAGCCCTCTCAGCCCTCTCAGCCCTCAGCCCTCAGCCCTCAGCCCTCAGCCCCCAGCTCAGCCCTCAGCCCTCAGCCCTCAGCCCTCACTCAGCCGCCCCCTTAGCCAGCCCTGAGCCCCACAGCCTTAAGACCGCGCGAGAAGAAGCGACCTCCTGTTGGCGAAAAGGGTTCGTACCCCCCCTAGGAACCGGGGTCTGCAAGCGGACGGTTCGCCAGGAACACAGCCAGTTGAAGCCCGTCGCAGGGCCCCCGCCCTTTTCCCTCCGTTCCCCCTCCCTCCCCCTCCCGCTACAACCTCCACCCCCCACAACCTACTACCCCCCCCCCTATCGCTCCCAAAGCCACGCTGCGGATGCCGCGAACATGCGCCGGGCGCTGCGCTGGGCCAGGCCGAGGCGGGCCGCGTAGCGTTAAAATTAATTATCACATCCGTTGGGAAACGAACACCGGGTTGGCGAAGTCCTGTTCTGACGGGGAGTGGGACAACGTCGCAAGACAGCGACCTCAACCGTACTCAGCTTTACCCGCATCCGATTCAACCTACCAGGACCTTTATACAATTCACAGCTAGCACCTGTGATGCAGCGTTTTCCGTTTGAAGCGCCTCTTTTGATCTCACATGAGGCTGAGACAAAATCTTCGGGTTGCAGTCTTCGTTCTTGCATTATGTCAGGCTAGATGAGCATGGACTTTGGAGGCATCGCCTTTCGCCCAGCACGAAGCCTATTGAATAGCCTATGGTCTAAGTGGGCCACACCCCATCGCGTTCAACTTTATCTGACTTTTTGTGAGGCACAATTTTCTGTCAGACCGCCTGATGTTGCAAGAGTCATGCAGTTGGAGAATTTCACATGCTCCGACGATGCACGCAGATATCCAGACCCTCTATGCTCAAACACGCAGAGGGGGTTGGTCCTCAGCATAACTCACAGAAGACCTTCAGGTCAAGACCAGATCGACTCATTGAACGTTAAAGTGCTTTAAGTGAGAACCCTGTCGACTGAATCTCGATGTGGCACGGCTCAAGGCTACCGACCAACTTACCGCGTGCAAGCTCGCTGCTGAAAAACTGCACTGGTGCCGGCCTGGGTGTCGGGCACCTTTCCCAAGGCCAACAGAGGGGACTCCTGCAGGACATGTTGGTTCATATTTGGTGCTGAATGTTCGTATGCAGGTGTTTGTGGCTGACGTGTTCGGGCTATCTAGCCAACCGCTGACACAAGCTGCTGCGGGCACACGCCTTGGGTTTACCAGTACTGTACTAACCGAAGGAAGGCTGCCTGTTGCACAGGCAAAGCTGGTGCTGTGTCCTTTGACCCGCCGATAGCATTGCGGTAGATCATAGCAGAAACAGTCACGCCCACCATCGCGAGAACCACCACTTGCATCATCACCATCTCAGAGGGTGTGAGTGCAGCTGGCAATTGTGGTTAGCCGGTGTTCACTTGTGCTGAATGGTACTGACATGCATTTGCAAGACAAACACGAAACCACGAGCAACTGCCGCACATGTAACTTACTCGTAATGAGCAGTGACGCAGCTACTGGTGCAGCAGTGAAAGTCGCCATAAATCAGAGCGTCTGGTTCTTTCGTGAATTTTGGGCTCGGCATTCCCAATTCGAGGAGCAGGGAGCAAAAGTATCCCCCACGAAAACTGTCTGAATTGCATCGGGACACAATGGCGATGGACACACTCGTCAGGCTCTCTTTCAGCCTTTGGTCGTGGTTCATGATGATAGTTCGTGGATGCTTAGGCAGCCGACCAAGGCAGTGTTCGAGCAAAGGCATCAGATCGCAGATATCTTCATATTTTGGGGACTGATGGTTCAGACTCATCTCTCTGTGCACAAAGAAGAAAAACATCTGCTCATTCGTGCAAAGGGCTCAGCTGGCAAAGCAGGCGTGAACGCCCCCATGCACACCATCATCATGACCAGGCACACGCTGACCTAGGTCACAGTGCCTGCTAGTGACTAGCTGCTAGTGCCCCTGCTGCATGTGTAAATGTCTAGGGCTATGACAGGGCACGGGCGATCAACATCTGCTAGATGAGTCTGCGTGGTCTCCTTTTTTGTTCTAGTTACTTGAGTTGTACTGTATTTACATGCATGGCCTCGAATGTCTGTAAGTAATTGATTGTGGCCGCCCGCATAGCTCCTTCTGATTCGACTTTCAACAAGACTGGTTCGTTGGAAGATCAGCATGCTGAAAAGTACGGGCACAGACAAAGTTACAAAGTCACCCCCTGCATGCAGCATGCCAGCACTGCCGCTAGATTCAATTCCATCGATCTTCTGTTGAGCTCAACCCTTGAACTTGGAGGGATGAGCGCTCCTCGACGCACCTCTTTCCAAGGAAATATCTCAAAACCGAAGACAAGAAGCGATTCCATCGAAAAGGTTCAGGGCTGGAAGCTTCCATGGCCACACGATTAGCTGCACCATCATGTACCTCAACTTGGCGGAGGCTGCAGGAGCCTGTAAGCATGTGACGGCATACGTAGTGCGCAAGCATCTTGGTTTGGTGCCTGCCCTATACTGCTAACCTCAGGTCTCATGAGAACAAGATAGAAAGTTCGTAGCACAATGTTTCCATCATTGCGTGCGCGATAACATTATATAACACAAAATTTTGAAAACATGGAGCCCCATTAAAACGACTTCTTTGGGAACTCAGTTTCAACCACCTGTTCGAACCGCTACAGGATGTTCTTAGTGGGGCGCTTGGCGTCGCCCGATTTGATGTCCAATGTTATTGACAAGGAATGTCCAGGCAACGTTAAACGTTGTTCTTGCAGATGCCTGCCGCAATTTCGAATCCGCGGCACGACTCGTGTTTGCCAAGCAAATCGAGTAGTGTTGCGTACGGCTCTGAAGAGAACGCGTTTTGTGAATGTATCTCCAAGAATGTCGATGTTCCTGAGCACTTCGAGCAGTCGTTGCTACACGGTATACATCATACCATTCCAAATTGTTTCATGGCATTTTTCCCAGCGTTTCCTTTCACTCGTACTCTACCTTAACCAAGGGACCCACGAAAATCCCTCCCTCTGGCGCAATCACTTGTACAGTATTTCAATGAGCCTGTCCGGTACAGTACTGGCATAAGAATGCATAAGACAGGAAGCTTGAACCTGGGTTGAACTTACCATACACTTGACAGCAGGGTGGACGAAAGCTAGACTCCCGCAGTGGGCAGACGGCGACTTGGCGCATGTCAGCATAAGTTGAACATGCGAATGTGCACGAACATCTGTGTCGAGTGTGTGCCAAGCCGTAGCGTATGTCAGCGCAAGTTGAAGATTTCAATGGGGGTCCAAAGGTGTGGCAGGGACTAAGGCCCTGTCCCAAAATAAGAAGGTTGTAAACAAAACCTCCCACAAGCTCCAAAAAAGCTAGCTTTCCGTGAGTTCATCTCCAAATATGGCCGCTCGTGGGATGTAGCCAGCAGACCATGCAGCTTGGCGAGGAGTAGCCTGTGCAGTGCCACAGAGCACAGTTGTCAACCTCGTTGGGCTCCTTGGGCGCCTTCTGGATCTCTTGCGAGGCAGGTTGCATCTCCGGCAAGTGCCTGCGAGGCCGGCCGCCCGGGAGTCGCTGTGGTACTCCAGGGTCCCTAACCGCGGCCCCCGTGGCGCCATCCATGGTTGTGGCTTGGCTGCCCTGACTACTCATGCCGGGCACCTATGAAAACAAGGTGGCTTGGCTGCCCTGACTGCTCATACCAAGGTGTTCTCTGCTTGAGAGCTGTGATCGAACGATTGTTCCTGGCTGCTCATAACACCTACGAAGACAAGGTCAGCCTGAGCAAGGTGTTCTCAGCCTGACTGACCTGAGACATTGAAGAGCGTGCAGGCTAGCTGCAACTCCAGTATGAGAACGATGAGAAGCATCTGAACATAGGGATAATCCTTAGGCTGTCTGTGCGCACATTCTGTCGAATCAACTTCAACACTCGGCAACGACATGTAAGAAAGCCAAGGAGAGCATGTAAGAAGAAGCAACCTCCCTCAAAGTCCCCAGCGAACGGAAGTCTCCTCAATCTGCGGGAACGTCCGTCATTTGCAAGCACTCAAACCAAAAAAAGTGAACAGCTCAGCACACCTACGGTAATCTACAAGTCCCAGTGGCGGCAGCCAAAACGATCGACAGGGAGAGCATGAGCCCGCGAGGGAGCATGAAAGTGCCTCGACGCATCGACTTATAGTCCGAATTCACAAAACTCTAAAGGCACTGAAACTGGATTCGGATGGGCTGTGGAGATGCCGGGCTGAAGCTGGAAGATGCTGACCCCGAACGACGTCTGCAGTGTACACTTTCTTACATGCTTTGGGAACCCTTGGCTCGTCGGCTGCCGAACCCTTACCTGCACACCGTCGATTTCGACAGGACTCCGTACCACCAGTAATCCACACGGAATCGCGCAATCAGAAAGCGGATCGACTGGAGAAACGTTGCCCTGCCCTGCTTTGCAGCACGCGGCGCGAACCTAAGGGTGAATTGCACAAGAAGCATCAAGGAGTGATGATCATGACATATCATGATGGGGAAATCTCTGAGTTCAATATCAGGCCACACCGTGCCGAAGACTGCCAAGGCATAGAAGGCAATGAGGCCACAAAGCCTGTCGTTTGACAGTCGCCAAACAGACATGCGGACTTGAATGAGGAACTGACTCGTGCCTACCAGTGGCGGTTCCCAGTCTCTTCTGCGTACACGTTTGAACCCAAGACGAACAACCAACCTGACAGGGAATGCACCCCTCGTAAAATCTTTCCCAACTTTAAGCCGCATTTTTCAAACACGCAGCAGCAGCAGGCCCAGGATGAGCATGCTCGTGTGCTCCGGGCTTTCCTGTCTGCCATGATGCCAGAACAAGGTTTCTGAGCCGTCCAGACAAAGGCTTCTAGAAAATGGCGCCGTAAATGAAATCGCAGGAGGCCAAGAATGGCCAAGACACGAAGCAGAAGATCCCATTGTGCTTCATCAGTCCCTGTTTGCCGTTGGGGTGGGAATAGCACCTCGGTGTATGAGGCGATGCTCATGCGGACTACATGAGATTTCCTTGGGCGGTCGCGACCATGGCCGATTGCGATTCAAAAGGCTGTTTGATTCGAGGCCTACGAGCTCCGAGGCACATCATTGGCTCCAGGGCAGTCTTGCTGACGATGGTGAAAGTCACTTGTATCACCTACCAAGGCGCCAGTAGCGACAAACATGCCAGGATAAGTTCAGCGGTCAGTTGACCATGTTCTGCATATGTCCCAGTTCAGATCAAAAACTCGCTGCAGACACGAAGGCTTAAACCGGAGAATTTTTGCTGCCTGCCCCATTGTGCTCAAGGTCTTCGACAATTCAAAGCGCCGGTGATGCGGAATGAAGGGCAGCACTCGGCTGATCCTGCAGGGTCGTGTTGCACCGAAACGGCAAACATCATAGGAATGCAATATAATGCAGGAGGGAAGTCACACAAAAAAACATCAAAAAACCGTCCAACAATGAGATGGCAAGCGCTACCTGCACCACCTTTTGCTCAATGAACTTGATCGCAACACGACAATCGTGGGTGGACATTCCGGCAAAACGTGGTAAGGTGCACGATTTTAACGAAAGATGCCCCCTCGTAGAAATCGGCAAATGCTGAGACACCCAACGAACCACGGCGTGTGCCGTGTGCACTGTTTTTAGCTGCAAAAACATGTCTGCAAGCTTGCGCTTAGCCGGCGAACCGAATTCCTGAACCCTGCTCCCCTTGAACACACTTGTGCCCCCAATACGGGGCAGGGCACAAATGAAAATCGGGGACCTTCGTGGGAGCATGTGCGGAAAGCTGGAATTCCAAATGGGGGCTTAGCCGCCGTTTCCGCTGACAGAGTGTTGGAGGTTCCTCTCCTCTCAAGGAATTTAATTCAGGGCCCCACGGTTGTGCCTAGCGCCATCATCAACCACATTTCTCTGGAAAAGTAAACTCTCCAGAGATGAGAGCCAACTGCTTGGGGCGGAAGACGCAGGGTTTGGGAACTGATGATAGCCCTTGCCATGAGGTAGTAATGGCTACCTTTTACTCAGATGGCTTGAGCGCAGTGCATGTACAGTTAGGTAGAGGGTGCATGAGTTCAACATACTCAAGTCAGTCAATGCATGGCAGTGCCACATTTGGCGAAGGCACAGCCCAGCCACCATGATCCAAAGTAGAGCGCAGGGCAGCGCAGCCACGCTGAAGCCATACCTTTCTGCATTATTCTGAGATTCCATGATTGGCTGGAACTTTTATAGTAGTGTGCAGGCCCACGCATGGCGAGAATTGTCTGGGCCTTTTACTGATCTGACACACAGATGCAGCATGGAAAAGCACAAATGGGCAGTGGGGGGAATGGCGGTCCTTTTACCGACTCTCCACAACCCAGCAAGGCCTAAAGTGCCTAATTAATTCATGCCGTCGTTCAGGTGCCCGAGATGTCTCCGACAGGGAACCGGTTGATAGGATTGCCCGCGACACAGTCGAAGCCCAATGAATCGATGTCCAGGAGAAAAAGGTTCCTTGGCGACACAGAGGCTTTGGGAAGCAGGGCGAACTGTTTGGAAATGCGCAACACTACTGTCAGCAACTGAGCCATGGTTGTCAACATTGGCTACCAGCATGACTTTTTCAACTTTGCTTGTGCATCTGACTTGCGCTTTCTCGGGTTGCTAAAGACCCATGATGGTCGGGGCTAGTTTGTGTTTGCAGGTTTGTGTGCGTACTAGGCGCTTGGGTGTCAACAGGAATCAGGAACAAATTGCCGGGGAATGGGAGGGGAATGTGGAGATCCCGTCTACAACACACAACTCAAAGTCTGCAGCCCTAAGCGCCGAATTTTGCACAAGGCGTAAACGTGACGGCTCTTCAACCTTCAAGTCTTCACACAATCTGCAAGCTTGCCTCCAAGCGAGTGAGCTCAATACATGTGAATAAACTTGGATGCCTTTATCGGCGAGCACGAAAGACTCAAAGGATTGAAGGGCTGCAAACAAGCAACATGGCGTCGAAGATCCAAGAAAGCTCGGATGGCCAGTCAAAGGATATCATGCCCACAATGCCCACGGATTGCAGCCTTTGGATATCGAGCTGACGGGCGCGGCTTGGGATACTGTCTGTTCCTATAGACGAAAAAACAGGCACATGACTTAATAAACCCGAGCCTAGACTTCAGCGCTCGAGAAACCAGTGTCTAAATGAAATCTGCAGGTCCAGGTGGCGAAGTATGCGTATGCCAGGCAATATGCCATGCCCGAATATGCTTGTCGGATCGTTGTTGGTCACGAGACACCATCTATCTAAAATATTGGTTTGGTTTTGGTTTGGTCTTGGTATGGTTTTGGTATGGTCGGTCTGCTTCCAGCCTTAAAAATGCCAAACTCATATCCTGCACTCTTTCAGAGAGGAAGACCGCTGAATGAATGCATTCAGGCAATGGTTGCGAGCCCCTGACTCCTATGTCTTCCAGAATGGGCCAAATGCACTGTTGTTTTGGAAGTAGCTGTCCGAAGGCATTTAGCCGCGCTCCAAGAATGCATATGGGCATGCTCCTCCTCATTCCGAGCCCTTTTCGGGCTTTTGGCGAAATCCCGAACTTATTCTCAGATCTTTCAAATTCTCAGTGTTTGTTCCTGTGCAGACAGAAACGACAACCGCAGAAGCTGCCAGCCCGACCAACCCCAGACGTCAGCACGAGGAGAAACAATTCCCAAATGAGCTGTTCGGATGCCGTGACGGCTAATTCACGTGGCGAAAACACAAAAAAGTGCACTTTTGACGTTCTCTTTCTCTATCCAAAGGATGACAGGCACTAGTTCATGCGCTGTTTTAGTTTGGGGTCAAAGTTGGTACATGGCATAAATATAAACTGTCATTTACAGTTACGCATGACATATCGATAGGTTTGTAGTGGTATCTTGGGTGCCTTCTTAGCCCACATGTCAGCCTACTGGGGTATACCCCCCCCCCCCCCCCCGCCCTCACAAAGGGATTTGTTTTCAACGTCCGCAAAAGACGAGGAGCATAGTAATCGTCATCGAGAGCACGCAGGTAGTCGCGAACAGCCTTGGCGAACATCGCTCACTGGCAGAACACAGGGGCAATGGCGGGGTATGTGGTTGCGGCTGTCGCATTTGGCTACTCGCACCAGGCTACTGATTGCTGATGAGGACGGCAAGGCCATCGCGACAAGTGAAGGAGCCAGATGCCATGTGAGGGTAATAAAGGGGCCAAAAGAAAAACCTGCAGACGGCCCGACTGCTCCACTTCAGCCCTCAGCAGCAACCAGAAGCCCAAAGTGAAATCTGAATATCACGGAATGACAGGGTCTATGATATGAATGTGCAGACTCGCATCATGCTGACTTTTGCCGTCGCTGCTGAGTTCATGAGGTAGTACCCAATGACCTCGGCACAGCATCTTGCGTTCTGAGTTGTACCGTGGGTTTGGACCGGCCGACGGCAACTTGCTGAGCTTGTTCTTGCTCTGTCGGTCACCCGCGCTACTCCCAGTGGCATGCAACCTGCATGATTGTCTTAGATTGCATTCGAGTTGCCAAAGCGAGCATTCCAAAGAGCATAGCTGCCACCCACCCCGCAGTGCCTGAACAGAGAGAGCAGAGCCGACGGTTGACACAGGCCCTTTCCCGAACCCGCTGGCACGTGTCGGTTGCTATCGTATTGTCGTATAACTACAAAGAAGCCATGAGCCGCAACAGCTTTTGTCACACCTCAAAGCCGGTCTGGCGTTGCGCAGCTTCCCGCACAGGAGTCCAAGCCAGTGCCGAGTTGCTCAGGTTGCCGCAGGGACTGCAAATCCCATCTTCAAACGATAGGCCGTCCGGACACCGTGTGCACGGCACCTCACAGCGGACTTTCTTGACAATCATATCGCTGTCAAGCTCACAAATCAACTGCAGATGTGCAGTCAGCTAGTCAAAGCAACCCCAATACCGTAAAGCATCTACTGTTGCACGATATTTGAGCCACGTCATCTTTGTCTTCTGGTCGAGATTGGAGACTCAGCGATCTCGCCTGAATAAGTTTCTAGCTAGGCGCAGCGAGGCCAGGTTGTGTCAGTGCCCCATTCATCATTATGAATCATTAGTCAAATCCTCAAAGCCTGCAAAACCTAAGGAGCCCCTGAACTCCTCTCTTGATGCAGGCCACGCCAATTCGACCACCAGCACATGCACCTGCAACCCAGCTGCAACCCGGCAGTCTGTTAAACGGTGGGTCACCACAGTGGAGGAGTTTTTCCTTGGTGCGCCTTGGTTGGTTCGGAACTTACCTTGACCCACTCTCATTGCAACAAATGTGCTAGACCAGTAGGGCGTGGCTTTGGGTTTGGTCTGGTTTGGTCCTGTCAAACAGCCATCTTCAGCAGTGTTTGTTGATGCCAATGCAAATGGACCAGCAAGAATGGCTTTAGTGTCGCGTAACTTGCAGGGCTGCCAGGCGCGGGGCGCACCAACCACCTCCCCACTTGCGACAGAGTTCGTCCAACCGTTCGTCCAACCATTGCATGTTGAAGCAAAGGTCTGGACCCGTCATCTTTAGCCAAGTCGCTCTCAGCCCCACGGGGCTTTCGAGAACAATGTCGCGAACAACAACGAGCAAACTATGCAAAGCTCGAGATCAAGCAACACAGTTCTTCAGTGGCGAATCATGCAACGTTTGCCGGGGCTCCTGAACGGAAATCTGGGTTCCCACAGCTTCATGTAGGCTTTGCCTCGGGGTAGGTTTCGGACGACATTTCAGCTGGAGTAAGAAATGGGCAAGGTTGAGCAAGGTGGCAATGAGAAAATCAGAATCATGCAATTGTTTGACCAGCCCGAGTCTAGCAACTTTCGCAGTTGAAAAAAGCCAGAAGCCTTTTTGAAACGGACCCGTCATCAGGCATGGCTTTGGCTTGGGCCTTCATGCGGCATTCCGACCTCCCTTTTTGTCACGAACGCGCTGGACTAGTTGGGCTTAGGGTTTAGGGTCCAGGTTTTAGGACGGGTTGGCGTTGGTTTCGCTTCATTATATATTTGGGGGGGGGGGGCGGGGGGGGGGGGGGGGCGGGGGGGGGGGGGTGGCTGGGGGGGGGGGCGGGGGGGGGGTGCGGGGGTGGGGGGGGGGCGGGGGGGGGGGGGGGGGGGGTGGGAGGGGGGGGGGGGTGGGGGGGAGGCGTGGGGGGGGGGGGGGGGGGGGGGGGGTGGGGTGCGGGGGGGGGGGAGGGGGGGGGGGCGGGGGGGGGGGGGGCGGGGGGGGGGGGCGGCGGGGGGGGGGCGGGGGGGGGGGGGCGGGGGGGGGGGGGGCGGGGGTCGGGGGGGGCGGGGGCGAGGGGCGGGGGGGGGGGCGGGGGCGGGGGGGGGGCGGGGGGGGGGCGCGGGGGGGGGCGGGGGGGGGCGGGGGGGGGGGGGGAGGAAAAAGGACCCCTTCCTGGAGTTTAGGGTACTAATTTATGTCTGAGACGAGCTTGGCGACCAAGCTTGGCGACGCCTGGGTGCTCAAGCAAAGCCTGCCATGGTCCCGCTGAGCGCTCGACTGCGCCCGCCTACCCAACAGAGGTGAGAGGGGTGGCGGGCGGGTTTAGGGTTTAGGGTTTAGGGTTTAGGGTTTAGGGTTTAGGGTTTAGGGTTTAGGGTTTAGGGTTTAGGGTTTAGGGTCTAGGGTTTAGGGTTTAGGGTTTAGGGTGTAGCATTGGTCAGCTGAACGCAAAAGTGTGAAGACATGCCCACCCCGAGGCCACCCAAACAATACTCATCACGAAACCAAACCGGAGCCAGCCAAAGCCAAGCCAGCCATTCAAATTTCACGCATCGAATATGTTCAGAGCACACTAAGATAAAACACTGCGAATGCTTGGGACATTTGTGAGTCGTGAACTCTTGCCGAACTTGAAGCGAGCTGTTGGCGATTTCTTGGGGGGGTCACTTGGGAACAGTGGCTGATTGGGACACTAGGAAGTCGGAGATCATCTGGGGCCAGAAGGCAGCACGTCGAGCACTGCCTGGGACATTTGCTACTTTGAGGGGGAGCCAAGGGTGTCCCTTGACTTCGGAGGTCACTTCTCAGGTTTTGCGCAGGGGACGGTCTGGGCCGAAGGGCCCTCTCACAGAAAATTCAGGGCGTGAAGAGTCTCCAGGTTTTGCAAGAAGCCCCCCCCACGCCGAAGCTCACTTGGCCAGAGAACGAAACTCACTTTCAGGGCTTCCTGTCAGCTCCAGGGCCTTCTTTGGCAGCCTTCTGCCTACTGGAAGGGTTTAAGGCCCCCCTGCTTACTGGCACTGCCTGGGACATTTGCGACTTTGAGGGGGTGCCAAGAATGTCCCTTCATTTCGGAGGTCACTTGGCGGCAGAAGGCAAAGGACCCGCCCCTCAGGTTTTGCGCAGGGAGAATCTCCTTTCAGGCTCTGTAAGCTCCAGGGCCTTCTTTGGCGGCTTTCTGCCGACGAGAAGGGTTTAAGGCCCCTGCCCCCCTGCTAGGGGGCCAGGGCCAGGGTCAGGGCCAAGGGCCCCCAGGGCCAGAGCCAGGATAGGGGGGGTGGGGGGAACTGTGCGGAAGCCCCGTGACCCAAAACTCGAAAACTTCGAGCCGAGCCTGAAAACCTGTGAACATGGAAGCCCCTTTTCCGCTTCAAGCATCTCACTGCCGGCGTGCCAAGCCAGGAAGGAAGCTAAACGAGCCAAGCCTAGACGCACCTAGGACCTAGCAAACAAACTGCCAAGCTGAGCCCAAAAGCCAAACAGAACCAAGTAAAAAACACAACCGAGCAAGCCACGCCTGGACAAAATAACCAAGCCCGGACAGAGTCAGCGCAGCTCAGAAGGTGGCCTAATTCCAGGGCCTCCCAAGTTCAGGGCAGGAGCCTCTGGCGGTCTTTCAATCCGAAGCCTGGAACTTACGGGAGTGACAGCTAGAACGGTTGAATCGAAAACGAAAACCATGAAACAGCTGAACCGGAAAGCAGGACAGACAAATCGCCAAGACCGGAGACGGCTGCTTTAAAACCCCGGAAGGGGGAGCGGGTTTCTGCTTCTCTGGCTTTCCGTACACCATTGCCTCCCGGACCCTCCCCCGCTCCTTCTGATGTGCAGTTTCTGATGCGCACACTTTCTGATCTGCCTTTTCTATTTCGTGCTGCTTGTTTGGTTCGTCGTCTCTGGTTCGCAGTTGGTTTCTGATGATTCCACTGATCACCACGACTACGAACCCACAGAACATCCTAAACAACCAGGGTCGTCTTCAGTCTTCAGATGATTTCAGATCCCATGTCAAATTCAGTGCCTGGAGTTGGTCCAGGACACTTGTCTGCAGGAATACCTGAGGCTCCCGTCGCAATATCGATAGAAGGAGATGTGGGTCAACTTGCAGACACGGCAAACCCGCAATGCAGCCTTATCAGGTGTAGCATCCCTAGACCACAAGCAAGATCAGTGGCATTTGTAGACGTCGTAAGGCAAATCTGGCGTTGCGTAGAAGCCTGGCCCATCGAAGTGAGGGAAGCTTCAAACTTGGGCAGCAACATCAAAAGCTGCAGTAAGAGTTCACGGATCTTCACGACATCGGGGTCAAACTTTATCTGTAGCATGACCAAAGTCAGTGTGAGACCCTATGGGACGGCCTCAGGACTTATGAAGTGTCCCGAGTAAGTGACCCCACGGAAAGCGAACGTGCGTACTTACACGTCTCGGGCGGGAAAGGCTTCGTGGGATCCTCCGAATCTCCAGTGACCTCTCCCTCGATGCATTTCGTGACTCACAGCTGACCTGGTCTTGTCAGTTGGCGCCGTACGTTGGTTGATTGTGTGTTCTGGGGATGCCCGAACTGGGTGCTTGTCCCCTCGAAGAGTCGTCTTCGCGGGAATACGGGCAAGATTAAACGATTAAGCGCCTACAGGCAGGACTATAAGCGTGCCAAAAGGCATACGGACGCTGTGGCGAGCTGTGCTTACGCAGTATTGGCTGATGCTGTGGGCTTAGACTTGACAACACTGTAGGGCTGAAGGTCCCCAATCCGATGGGCCTGGCAGAATCACAGGCGCTTCTCCTTCCTCACCTCAGGCGAAATATCTTGCAGCATAGCTACCAAACCCCTTCTAGGTACTTCTACCTGGCAGAATCAAGTCGAAGCTAGACTTTGCAGGGAATTATCACAGAGCAGGTCCGCGAGACGACGCCAAAAGATTTCTGAGGGTTGATACTTACATATACTTACAAATCAGCCCCTAGAGCGCCCGAGGATGCCCGAGGGCTTGCTAAGTAGTTTCAAGCCCTCTCAGCGTAGTCTCGGCAGCACGGCAAAGACTGAGAATCACGACCAGCACCATCCAGCACCCTCACTGTCCCCCTCGTCCGTTAACGTACTTGCATGCAGAACAACGTCCAGCAACTGAGATGTGAAACAGATGCTGCCAGAACGCAATGCAGTCCATCTTGGCATGTCACGCACTTGCCGCGCTCGAAACGTGTAGCGTCCTGGGTGAATACAAGCTTTAACCAAAGTGTCTAGATAGCCTGCCCGTCAACACAGGCGATGAGGTGCAATCAGGCCGAATCATTGTGACTCCCGGTTGTTGTCTGCGACTCTCCCAGCACTTTCTTAGAGCATGGTGCAAGAAGCGCTGCGCCGTGAGCTAGATTCCCGAAGTGAATCCCTAGATACTATATTCGTGTGTCAGTTTTGCTGCTAGGCAAACCTTCTATCACCTTGTGACCTTGTATATACCTACAAAGAACAGGCTGGCCCGGGGGTGGGCCTCATCGCGACATGAGCATGTGGCCATCTACCATGCAACTCCCGCGGGACCTAGCAGCCGACACCAACTTTCAAAACGAAAGCATTCATTCCAAACTTGCACACTTGTCACGGAAAAAATCCTGAAAGCCTGATGCTGTGACCTGTAACCTCCAGATTGATGTATACCTTTTCCTGATCCGAGCGACTCCGCAGCGAAAGCCTCAGACGCACGATTGCATGGTGAATGGGTGACTGGCGTCATGTGCATGCAGGACGATAGCAGGCCTTTGCTGATTTCCGATCACCACCGACCACACTAGCAGGGGATGGTTCCGGACAGCTGGCTGCAATTTCGTACAGACTGGGCTTGGTGCTTGCACTTCAGCATTATAGATGCAGGCACGTGTCCCTGAATTCAGCGTTGCAGTTTGCTGAAAAGGTCTCAGCGGCCCTTGCAGAGAATAGCGCATAGCGAATTCTCCAAAAGCATGGCTGCCAACCTCTCCGGACCTTTTCCCGAAAGCGTTACGATGGGCGTTTCAGTTCTTTTCGCTGTGTGTTGCTGTTCTGCATCAGGTCCACGCGTCGTCTCAGTTCAGCTAGACTTGAATCTCATTTTTCTGTCTGGCGGGAGGGGGGGGGGGACGGTCAGGTTAGCGAGAAGAGTGAGGCACTTTGTTGGCTGGACATTTTCGCTAGCAAAACACTTCGGCAACATGTCGGTCACAAGACAACCCTCTCGGTGATCCCGGCGTGTCATGGCGCTAAATAAAAGCTGCGCATGGCGCTTTGTCGGAACATTGACTCTACGATGTTGTATTTGTGCGGAAAGCGTTGGTGGTGAAGTTGGACGGGATTCCTTTTGAGGGCAAGTGGTGCGCCTTTCTTGTTCTGGCAACAAATCGGCCAAATGCTGGGTAACGAAGGCGCTGTCTGCACATCGTTGAGCTGTGCACTTCCCCCAGTTTCGTCAATGCTTGCCATCACAGTCAATCAGCAAGACATTTCCTTCCATCTCCTTCGACTTTGCGATGCAAAGCCCAGATATAGAGTTCTGATTGCGAATTCAAGCCAAGATGCATTGGCCCTCCCAGAGGTCCCCATTGCAGGTGCAAGCTTGCGCGTCCAAGGCTCCCTGCATGTTGAATGCAAAAGGAATCAACATAAAACGGCTGCCTGCGCTCTCCATATTTCCAGGAAACCGATGAGAAATGATGAGAGCTAACATGGAGAACTGCACATGTCTCGACGTATCTCGATCTTAGCGTGCTCCTGGAAGTTGGTGGTCCGACCGGCAGGGCATTCCCGGCATTGCGTCAGTCCAGACTCGTCGGCGAATGTGCCTGCTTTCAGCTGACAGGTATGGGGCGATGTTATGGGACGATATGGGATGGTAGAGGGCAGCCATGAAGACAATTGCCAAGGAAAACCTCAGCTTCAGCCGCGTGCTAACATGCGTCCAGAATGGATGGAGCCGTGGAGATCTTGCTCACGCGAAGCTGCAGCAAGCTCGACCCACTTACATTCATTGAGCAGCTGCCTTCGTAGCACTTGCGGCACTGGGATGAGCCAGACTCATTCATGAAGAATCCTTCCACAAGGCGCAAGCTCGACTTGGGCCTAGTTACATGGCTGATCATGATCACAAGACATACATCGGCAGAACGTTGCAAAATGTTGCAGTTGAAGGTGGAGCCGCTACGCCGCTGCACTAAACAGCTTACTCACGCTTCGCCCATGTTAAGTACTCTTGGGAGAAGGACCTCTGGCAGGTCGAATCGCACCATCGAGACACGTGCCTCACACAGCTAGAATCCTGCATAATCAGCAATCGTCCCTTCCTCCTAATATCAATACACCCCTAATATTTAAAAGAAAAACCTCTGGCCCCAAAATCCGGGGCGGGCTCGCCCCTTTTAATCTCTCTACAGAATTAAGGGGCAGGGGAAGCCTGAAACCTGTTGGGCCGAAAGCTTGAAACCTGCTCCATGACTGAGCAAACAAGCTAGAAGGACGGGTTGTTTGTTCGCACAAATGATACCTGGGGTTTTTATACTTGAGGGGGGGGAAGCAGAAGCAGCGCAGTTCAGGGACCCTTTAATACCAGAGGAGGGGAGAAAAGCCCTAAACCAATCTCTTTGGCCTTCGTTGCAGATGCTGCACTGCTCCGCTCCCTGAGCCTTGCCTTAGCTGCTGACTTGCGCTCGGGGCAATAATGTGGCTTTTAAGAGCTTTGCTCAGTGGCGGTCTGAAGACGTAAGATGGCAAGGCTCTGAACTCATGTCCTGTTGGAACAACCCTGCAAACACATTGTTTCATAATGCTTTGCTGTGAGCCCCGTCCCGAACCGAAAGCTCGCCAAGTGGCCGACGCTGCCGGCTGGGCACACACGGCACTCTGCAAGACCGCTCTCGTTACCTGCTGCACATGCGGTCATTGGGTTGCGCAGCTGAAAGATCGGATAGCTTGACCGGTCTCGAACCAGAATCCAAAGAGCGTGGATGAGAATACTCGGACGTGGCGGTCAAGTCCCACTGTCAAGTTGCCCGTCAACCCAGCAACAACAACAGCACCGACCCCAACTTACAATGCCAGAGTCCCAGTGGCTGAAAGATCCCAACCTACATGGCTCGCATTGGTCCATGCCGGCTGCCTAGGCAACGGAGGCTTCGGGGCAACAATGACCATGGGATACCTTCCTTCTGAACGTGGCTTCCTGGCTGGATTTAGCATTTGGCCTCGAGTTGCCCACAATGTAGTACTGAGATTTATATACAATGCTAACAGCAATCAAACTTATTCGCGCTTAGGGGATCTAACAAACAAGAAGACACAAAAGCCAAGATGTTCATGCAATGGCCTCATACTTGCAAGGTCAGGAGCCGCAAAGCGCCCCAAAGGGCAGGCGTCGCAACCAAGTTCATTCTTCCAGGTAGTGCCGGCCGGACACCGGTTGCTGCGATCCTGATCCCAGGACGAATCTGGAACAGGACTTGCCTATACTTCTTCCCAGTTAAGCAGTGTCTGAGTTTTTGAATGCCTTAGCATGTCAGAGCCTGAACGAAGCTCGGACGCGAGAAGCGACAAGGGCGACATGTTACAGAAATCTAAACCCTTGAACCTGCCGAAGCCGCAGGCTTTGGGCCGGACCCCCCCCCCCCCCTAAAGCCCCATTGGCGCAATCCATACACACACACACACACTCACACTCACACTACACTCATGCACGCATGCACAGATGCACGCACGCAGAGAGGCACGCACCCACGCACGCACAGACGCACGCACCCACGCACGCACAGGCACGGGCACAGGCACAGGCACAGACACACAGACACACAGACACACAGACACACAGACACACAGACACACAGACACACAGACACACAGACACACAGACACACAGACACACAGACACACAGACACACAGACACACAGACACACACACAGACACACAGACACACAGACACACAGACACACAGACACACAGACACACAGACACACAGACACCCACCCACCAACGCACGCACGCACGCACAATGCACGCACGCACAATGCACGCAACACAGAAGTGCACCCTGGTGTAGATTCGGCTGAACTGCAAGAACCAGCAAGGTGGAGCGGGGCCCTGCATTCAACAAACAGTCAGCAACATGGTAGTAGAATTGACAAATCCGCTGCTGCAGAATACGCTTCTGTGTGTGCGTTTGCACGTGGTCAAGCATCATCTTCAGGGTGGTTTTGGGCGGACAACAACGAGGATGGAAACCATGCACAGCAGGATTAATTTAAAACAAAAACATTACTTGCAAGCAGGTACGTCCAGCTGATCAGGCCGGATATCCCATCCACAACCGTAGCTGCTGCTTCGTTGCACACGGCAGGTTGTGGATGCCGCGAAAGCAGTCACTCGGCATCTGGCTGCAGAAAATAGACAGAAAACTTCTGTCTGTCATGCAGCACGCATGTTCTATGGAAAGTCGGTTGCTGTGCGAAGACTCTAGAGTGGGGGTGACCCCATTCATCCATGAACTAGGACCTGTCACACACACACACACACACAAAAAAAAAAAAAAAAGAACACACACACACACACCCACCCACCCACGCACGCACGCACGCACCCACGCACGCACAAAAGCGCACACACACAAACACAAACACAAACACAAACACAAACACAAACACAAACACAAACACAAACACAAACACAAACACACACAACACATACGCACACAAAAGACAAAAAAAAAACGCACACACGCACACACTGACTGAAGGCACATGTTGCAACCTTGCGTTTTCACCGACTATATATCGCAAGCGGGCATGATTTCTTCGCCACGGCGATTCTGGTGTCTGCGAGAACGCTCATGTTCGGGCGTTTCGGTAATGAGCGACCCTGGTGTTGGTTGCCTGAGGCACCGTCCCAAGTGGCGCTCTGCATTGTCAAGCCTGCGGTTGTATCGCCGATCTTGGAATTGTTGCTACCGGCCCAGCCCTGACACGGGCCTATTCAAAATCCTTTTTTTGCAAAGAAAGACGCGTGAATGCAATGAGCTTGCGAACAAAGTTTATGCTGGACGGAACTCACCTGTCAAGGAGTTTTCTACCTTTGGACCCTTCCTAACCCTTACAACCACCGTGCGGACCCCGTCTTGCTTTTAACCTATATCCCCATAACAGCAATAGCTCGATGCTGTTGTGATCCTCGAAGACGTATCCCAACAAATGAGCGTAAATGGCCCAAACAAAGGCCGCTCATCTCTTCTTATCGCCGCGAATGCAAAGAATTGGGTGGTCTTTGAGGGTACCAAAAACTGTGGTAGTCGGATCCCGTAGTCGGCGTGATACGATGGATCCGGCGCATCTGTCTCTTGCTTGCTCTCTCGCTCGCTCTCTCGATTCCTTCCTTCCTGCGCCCGTAACCCCTCTGGAGCTTTTATCATAGGTCCGCTCTTGCGGAGACAGTATACAAAAAACTGCGACTGATTTGGAATTCCCGTCTCTCCAAGCAGCGGAAACTTCACATATTTCAAACCACTTTTGTACCAGTCCTGACGTACGGCCTCTCGAGCCTTTCTCTAAAAGAATCACATCTAAAACGCATCGACGCATTTTATCACTGCTTTCTAAGGAGAATTTTCGGCATTAAAGCCTCATTTTACTCTAGAATCTCAAACCAGGAAGTATGGGAAAAAGCACTTCGACCACAACTCCCTAGCGCCGTTATCAATACGGCCCAGCTCTCAATGCTTAAGGATGCGTTCCTGTCGGATTACAGTGACCCCCTACATAATGTCATGTTCAGCGCTGCACATAGAGACCGCATCATCGTAAAAGGCAGGCGTAGGGGCATGCAGATACCATACTTCTTGGAGACCACAACCCGAAGACACTTCCCGAACCACTGGACCAGCGAACCTGGGCGAGGCATCTTAGGACCCCACGTAGTCTACGCTGCCATTAATCATTAATCGTACCCTAGCTGCCTCGGAGAGGGCGCCAATGGAAGCACAGTGCGCGCACGGAGCTGACAAAAAAAAAACTCTGGAGGAGGGGGCCGCCCGAAGGCGAGCGAGTCCCGAGTCAGTGGGTGAGAGGTCCTCTACCCCTGCTGAGCTTTCTGGGAGTTGCCTCGCGAATAGAACTACCGCATGACGCACGACTGCCAATTCTCCGCCGCAAGATGCTTCTCTGATCTTCTTTGGCAGGGGGGGTCCACCGATGCACATACCGAAACACGCCTTATCCATGGCAGTGGGAACCGGGCAAGGTCCCGGTCCAGGATAGGTGGCTTATAATGTTCACGCGGATCGCAACCCGGCCAACGAAGCTGCGCGGGTGGGACGGGTTCTGTGCTGAGGGCATTCCAGCGTTCAGGTTGTGCCTCCAAGCTGAGATGTGAGAGACCGGATGTGGTGAGCTACAGGCAGGAGACCGATCGCAGACTCATTGTCTGATTCCAACTGGCAAGAGTGTGGGCTGTTCTGGCTTGCTAGCGAAAGGTAGAGGCCGCCTTGGGCACAGGCCTTGCCCGAGAGGCCGTCACGGAAGAGTGCCACGTCCGAGGACTCATACTGCCAAGCATGTGCCGAACCAACGTCAAGCACCGAACGATCCGGAACGCGTCCGTGCTCCCATCCTGCAGAGCGTGCATTGTGTTGTGACGGGAGATGGGGGAGGCTGGCAGAACTGGCACTGCCTTGCTTGCCTCAGTGGGACAAGTGAGCATGTGGGGAAAATGGGGCAAAATGAATCTTCGCGGATGAGCGAGGAAGGCAAGTGTGGCACAAACGTTCGTGGATGCCACTAGTGCTCGCCAAATGCTCGCAACGAACGTCCTGCGCAAAGCTGGTGTTCCTTTTTGGCTTCGCGATCCTGGACTCTGAACATCTCCAAACTCTCAAAAAAATTCTATCCCAGACGAGCGCGAGGCTCACAGTACTTAAATTTAGAGCCGTACAGTAGGAACCCTGTACGTCTAAGCATCTCTGAAGAATTTCCGTCCAAGCATCCGCCGGGATAAAGGCTGTGGACATATCGCAAGTGCCACTGCTGCAGGAGATGGCCTGACCTCAAAAGAAGGGCGCACGCATAACGGCATACGGCAACACGTACAGGATGTACGCAGGCTGCGTGGAGGATCTAATAATCATTGGGCTCAGAAAGGGCTCAGACTGGCGGAACGAGAGTCTGCACGTGCGCTTTCATCTCTTACCCTGTCGACCCCAGGGAAGAAGCCTTGGACCCTAGACGCATCTCGAAGACGTCCGGAAACAACATGGCCGGAGCGGCTGCTGTTCGTGCTGCTCCAGACGACGTCGGCAAGCCAAGTGATTCCTGCTCAGCACATCCATCTTACTACTTTCAGCCTGAACTCTGGAATTCCCTGGATTTTCTTACTCCCGCTTGCTCGTGAAAAGCTACACATCGTCTGATACCATGCTATCTCCACATCAATTGCAACTCGAGTAGCTGCATGCGAAAAACTCAGAGCAATTAGGTAGAAACAGAAAGGTCACTGCACAGACGCATGCACACAGCTTCCGTAGCTTCCGAAAGATTGCTGACGCATGTCGCGTACAGGTCGCATAGTCGCTTGAAGCCCAACAGTTTGTGTAGGTTATGTGGAATGCCTGGGCATCAGACGAAACTTTCACAGGCTCAGCTTCCATGTGCAACAGTGCGTAACCCTGGACCGCTCGGTTTGCTGAAGTTGCTGAAGCTCCACATTCCTCAATCAAATCACCCTGCTTGTAGCGAGTGTCCTGTCGACGACCAGATCCCCAGGTGGCTGAAAGGCTGCAAGCAGGGCGTCTTCACTCTCTGCTGTGGGAGCTCTTGCTTTAAAAGTGTTAAGTCTTTAGTTAGATCTGCGTTGCGATACCGAATGTTCTGGACCAGATGACGAAGCTCATCGTTGCTCCGCAGTTGCTCCGTTGCAGTTTCGACAGGCTGGCAATCAGGCTCGTCAGGGTATGGTTGCAGTTTGTCGAAACATTAAATCTAATTGTGACGTTCTTCGACAGTTGCAGGACAGACTTCTTGGTGAAGCAAATGCCAGTAGCTGATAGTAGCTATTTGTCATGGCAGTGCCTTAGACATGAAGCAGAGCTTGGCAACCTGCGCAGAGATGCTCGTAATCTGCCGGATGAGAATCTGCCCCTCCCGGTCTCCTGAAGGTCTCGACGCCTAAGCTTTTGATCTTGACTTGTCCTGCCTAGTGAGCTGACCACATCCCGACTAGGTGAGGCAACGGAGGATACAATAACAAGAGTGTGATCGGGTTGGGTTGGATTGCGCACACCATAGTTTGGAAAACCTCCCAAGACATGAAGCCCCGCAAGGCGCAAGAGACTCCCGCAACAACTGTCAGCCCGTTGTCCGTGTGAAGGAGGACTGGTGGTGGGCTCAACGCTGTTGAAGATGCGGACTCGCCCAGTGGATCCCATGTAGTCCTGCTTCTGGTTAGCTTGGCTTCCTTGAACATCAGTATCTTTGGGAGCTGCACCCTTCTTGCTCGGCATTCCCTTGGCTCCGGTTGTCTGGAGCCAAACCCCAGCAAATCCCTGACTAACACGAATTCTCAAGGGTGCCATGTTTTCAGCGTAAATGCTCTTTAGGTTTCCATCCAAAGTGGACGATGCGAATCTGTTTTTCCTTCTTGGAAGATCAAGTCTAAGAAGCATGGGTATGCCCGGCAAAAAAACTTTGGGACAGGGTGGGGGGGCTCGAAGTGATAATGGGAGGCTGTCGCATGTGGACGTCCGGTTTCGTGAAATGCAAATGCGCCTGAACGGCCTGACAGCCACATCACCCCTATTTTGTGGTCGCTCGCCAGCCTGACATGTCTCCTTGCCGCCATATGCCCGATATATTCGTCGGATATTGACCGGCCTGCTGGTCGATATGAGAGGCCTTCTGGCCGCCAACTGTTTTGCGGCACAATCGCCGGCCGAGAGGCCTGCTGGCCACTGTATGGCAGCTATCTGTCCTACTATCTGTCCTGTGTCCTGTCCTGCTGGCTGTCCTCATATCTATCCTCGTTCCCGTCCCGCAGCTATTCTTGGGTACAATCGCTGGCCGCTGTCCTGTGTCCTGTCCTCCTATCTGTCCTCCTTATATCAATCGGTCCTCGTTCCTGCCCTATCTCCTGTTATGTCCTCCTATCTCGCAGAGTGGTATATAGTAGGGAGTGCTGTGTTGTTTCTGTTGTTATTGTTTGTTCTTGAGTTTTTTGTTTTCGCTGTTGTTTTTTCGCAATCTCGTTCTTGTTGTTCTTGTTGGTATTGTTCGTGCTGTTCGTGCTGGTCGTGTGCTTGTTGTTCGTGCTGTTATTAGTGTTATTGTTGTTGTTATTGTTGCCGTTGTTGCTGCTGCTGTTGTTGCTGCTGTCGTTGTTGTTGTCTGCGGCAGACTGTGGTGGGCAGAATTGTCCTCAAAATCGAGTAACCCCCCCACTGGGGGGCGAGGAACAATGGCAAAAAGAGGAAGCAGCCATGAAAGCAAAAAACGACGAGCAAGCAGCCCAAGATACAAAAACAAGGAAAAGCAAAATCAAAGGAAATAAGCGGCCCAAAGGCAGCAAGAGAATGCAGTAAGAGACAGGCAGAAGCAACAAGCAAAAGGCAAGACACGACAAGAATACGCCGCAAAAGACAGAAGCAACAAGCCCAAGGACATAACATGCCATAGGAGACGAGCAGCAGAAATTAAGAGAGAAAGATGAAAGACATGCAGACAACAAGTAGAAAGCAAAATCTGGAAACCAAGAAGCCAAACGCAAAAACAGAAAGCGAAAAACAATGAACTAAAAAGACAAGTTCCCTCCCCCTTTCAAAAACGAATAAACAATACTGCTTCGATCATCCCCACCCTGCAGCACCTGATGTGGGAAACATCCTGCCGTTTTCGGACAGGTACTTGCGGATACTTCAGTCTCTGCGGACTTCCGTGAGGTGGGGCAATTCAGGCACACTCGGCGGTACTCTTGGCGGACTTCTCTGAAGAATGGCCCTCCGGGGATACTCGGCTGGACTCTTTGCGGGCTTCTCTGGGGGTGGGCACGCATACTCGGCGGGACTTTCTGCGGGCTGCTCTGAGAGTGGTGCCGTCTAGAGTGCCTTGGCCACAGTCAATTTTTTTTTCCATTGTTTTTGGCGTTGGAATTCCCAATGGGGTTCTTCTGGCGGTCCGCTCCAACAGCGACGTCGCACGCGACCTGCAGGGGCGTGACTTGCCTGTCGCCATTGTCAATTCCAGCGGTGTCGCTGTCCGCTTGGTGGCGACGCACGGCCGGTTGGTGCCTGCCTTCCCACTTCGGCTCCCAGCAGCAGCTTGAGTCAGAAGCAGCTCTCACTGTCGTGCTATTCGTCTTTGACCGGGTGTTTCATGACATGGATCGACATGTTTCCGTTGTCCAGACATCGGGCTCCAAAATCTAAGAAAACTCAATGCTAGTAAGGTTCTCCGGAAGCCTCCTCTCCCTGTTTTTGAGTCCCTTCAGAGTCTCACAAGCCGGCCTCTTGTTCTCGGGCTCCCTTGAACTTCTGTCACTGTTTTCTGTAATGTTGTGGATGGTTTGGAATAAACGTTGAGTGAATCAGAAAGTTTGAAACCGATGTTTCTAGAATTTCCGAGAACTCACGAAAACAACCCTCCTGAACTGGCACCCATCCTTGGAAAAGATCTAACCTAACAACCCGCACGGAGAGTGTGGAAAAAGAGGCTTCCATTCTCAAGTATCCGCATAAGAACGGCCGGCGCGTGTAGCGTCCAGGAATGGCCCAGCCTGCTGAAGGAAGAGCTGGTATAAGGACTCGCGTGAAAACTCAGTGTTGAGCTCGTGATAGCTCCTCACGAACAGGTGCAGGTGACCCCTACAGGACCCTACAAGCCCCTAAACCCCCTACATGGCTTATAGGCTGTACATGTTGGGTGCAAAAACTCGTCGACTCGGAGGCTTGGCAATTGAAAGTTGAAGCCGTTAAGACGACCAGTAGGGGTGGTCAGCAGAGTCAGCAGAGACTTCGGTTTCACCCACAATAGACTTGGAACAGTGTGGCACCTGTTTTGCTCCACAAGGAAGCCATGGAGAATCGCAGCCTCACAAGCCGGAGCGCCATGGAGGTCTGAAGGAAGCTTGGTTTACAGGCGATAACCTTACGCACCAAGTACATGAGATTACGTCGGCAATGGGATGCGTTCGCTTCAGCTTCTCACCGACCCACAGGCTGGCTTGGACGAATTGCTAAGAAAATGTCATGTACTTCACACCGTACTCAAGCTATGGCGCGATGTGCCACAGGCCATCCTTGCTGTTCAGACTCACGCCGCAACAAAACACAAGCTAAAAAGCAAAGACGCGCTTCTCACCTAGGCTCTTTAGTGTTAAACATACTCCAGAAACCAGTCGCACAAGTGCATGGGCCATTGGCCGCCCAACAATTTTGAATCCTGAGGTGGTGCCACCCGCTTGCAAAAAGCACTCCGGCGACTCTCACGACGACTTCACTTCCCCATTTCCCCCTCTCCAACAACCTGCCCACAGGCAAAAGGTGGTGAAGAAAAGGCCCCTGGCCTGCATTGCCGACCGACACCCGAAACAACGATGGAAGCCTATCCCACTATCTCTTGAAGAGTTCTCCGCCAACTCTAAAGACTCAGGCTGAGCTCTAAACACGTCTAAACAGCTTATGTTAAGCCCAGTGCAACTTACTAAAGCCAGGACTCGTACGTGTAGCCCGCCACCTCTACGGAGCAGAGGCCTGTCCTTGTTCATGCTGCATGCTGCACATGCTGGCCATGCTGGACTTCCAAGACATGTGCTGCCGACCTGGTAGTCAGCACAGTTGGAGTGTGCTGACGTTCTTTAAAAACACTCACGCTATTTTGAGCAGACCCCCCGGCCGAAGAAGCAAACTTGACATGTTTTGACATGCCTGCGTGGCGAAAAGAGTGAGAAAACATTCGTTGAGAACGCTTGGTGATACAGCAAGCTGCCTGCAAAAATTGAACTCCAACGAAGTCAAATGCAGGCTGGGGACCACCAGAACTCCTAGGCCTTTCGCCCACACAGCACACTTCAGCACACTGACCCGGATTTAGCCTTTTTGCACATTCAGGCACCCATTCGCGAAGGCGGAGCAGTCCTTGGTCGAACGGCTCAACATGAACCTTGAAGATGAAAGACTAAGGCACCACGCTAACTGGCGCTAACTCTGCAACAGACACTTGCCGTGTTGCGAAAGCCGTTACAACAAGAAACTGTTGTTGCAACATGGCGTGGAGAACCTCGTGATGCGGAAAAGTCCGCGGCAGTAAACCTGATGCAAGGGAACTTCGCATTGGTGCAGGCCAGCAGCGGCCAAATAATCCTTGGAAGTCTGACACGAAACTGGCACGTGCTATTCGAGCTGCGCGCATGCTTCTGACGAAGCCGCCTGCCTTGAGAAAGGTGTTCCAGCAACCCGAAGCAACCAACACTAGGCTCTAGAGGCTCTATAGACGCTAGAGGCCTTGGTGGATTAACATGACTCGTCTCTTCTATCCTCTCTTTTTCTCCCCCCCTTCTCCTCGGGGGCGGCGCCCTCAGGTTCAGGCATTGTCCCGGGGATACACGATAGTCTCAGCTTTTGGGTGCGTGTGTGCGTGCATGCGTGTGTGCGTGTGCGCGTGTGCGAGTGCGCGTGTGCGTGTGCGTGTGTGCGCGTGCGCGTGCGCGTGCGCGTGCGCGTGCGCGTGCGCGTGCGCGTGCGTGGGTGCGTGCGTGCGTGAGTGCGTGCGTGCGTGCGTGCGTGCGTGCGTGCGTGCGGGCGTGCGTGCGTGCGTGCGTGCGTGCGTGCGTGCGTGCGTGCGTGCGTGCGTGCGTGCGTGGGTGCGTGTGTGTGTGTGTGTGTGTGTGTGTGTGTGTGTGTGTGTGTGTGTGTGTGTGTGTGTGTGTGTGTGTGTCCAACCCTGTAACCAAGGGTTCAACAGTAGGCCTCATCTCATTTCTTTTGAGCAGGGGGGCAGAGGGGGTGTGGGGGTGGCTCTGCCCATCGAAGCTCCCCCCCACACCCCAGGTAAACGTACCTGCATTGGTCTGTGCCTGGACTCTGTATAGAGTAGCTGGCAGGACCCTCACCCTCATTTTCATGTCCACTTCATTTCGTGTTGTACCATTCCTCTGAGTCTGGTACAGCGAGGCAGGACCCTACCTCATGTTTGCATCATCTCATCAAGGTTGCACACGCCATTCCTTGTGTCTGGCCTGTCTGGTAAAAAAAAAAAATCGTCATTTCACCTTCATGCCCCAAGACACCCTTGGGATTGCAATGTCAACACCAGTTTGAAACATCAGAGGTATTCAGGAGCATGATGTACTTCAGTGACAGCAGGCTTAGCCTGTCTAAGCTGATGTGGCTCGCAGATCGGAGGTACCAGTATTGGCTGTCAGGAAGGTTGCTTGAGTGTGTTGTGTGTGTGTGTTTGTTCTTGCAGCGCCTCCAAACGTGCCAAACGTGCCCTTTTTTTCTTTCTGTCTCTCTCTCACTCTCTTTCACGCCTCCATGTTGTATACTGTACAAAGGCAAGCTCGTATGGCGCGTGGCCACAGAAAAAGCCAAAGATCTCGCCATGACGTCTCCGTACACACACGCTGCACCAGTTCCACTTCTTCGAGCCATGCGGCGGAGTAGATGTCCGAAAGCCGGCGGCCCGAAAGACCATGCATGTCGTTGGTGTTCCTGTGCAGCTTCTGAATCTGCTCTGAGGATTTGGCAGATTGAACTTTCCAACCCCCTTGCCCTTATCCAAAACACGAGTCCGAAGCTTGGCAAGGACCAACACGCATTCGTTTATGGCAACATATCTCCTAGGAGATCACCAAGGTGCATCATCGGACCCATGTCGAAGCCCATGGCTCCAAAGCCGGTTCGCAGCAGTTCCTCTGCAGTACACGGGCCTGAGTGCTGAGGGCTGAGGATGCTGCTAGTTGCGGTGCTCAAGAGATCCAGGCTCAAGGTGTCAGGTCTTGGTATCGGTGGCCTGCTGTTAGCGGTCTCACATCGACAATCACTGCCTGTGAAATCAACACAGAGCAGTGGTTTGCGTACAAAATTGAGCAGCACAAAGCCCATGCCACCAAAGAGCAGTTTGCGGTTCCGGCGCCGAGTTGAGCAAAGTTCTGGAGCCTATGCATCAAAAATGTTAGGCATCTGTTAAGTAATGGCATAATTCACGTCCTCGAAAGCTATGGCAGCTATACTGCAGCTATGGTCCAACAACAATGGTCTTTGGGGTCCCCTCCTTCATCCTGAGGTTGCTACCTCGCAGCCCGAACTCCTCAAGATTCCTCAAGTTTCAACTGCACAGCTCACTGCACTACCAGGAATGCACAGATCCGTTGTATATGCCCACCCCCATGTACTCTTCTGTGGGCGTACTCCGCCGATTCCTGTCGATAAACGGTCCCTAGCGACGAGTACTATTCCGACTTCACGTTAGCATACCTGGATTGCAATTACTTCAGTGTCTGTGCGACTGGTGGGCAAGTACCTCTGCATCTGCATACCCAGACCCCAGGCAGACTGTAGAAAATGCTGGCCATGAAGTCCGCTTGAAGGTGCAGCTTTCTAGATAGAGATCACAGTTCAAACTTACGTGTGGAAGGTGCCCAAGCAATGAGGGATACCCGATCGGCCCGAACGCAAAAGTGGCGATACACGCCAGAATCCGGCAATGTTCTCGCGCAAGAGCTCTTTCTGCCCGAGATTCCACCAACCCGAGGACAGCATCCAAACATAGTCTGGAGACAGCCTCAGCGCATTTCAGCTCCATACATCCCCATAACGCTTCGCCGGCGCCATCGTGGATTCAATCACCGCCAGTCACTCGAGTTTGACATGCGGATACATGCCGCAACTTTTTGAACCGAAGCCAGGCTGTAAAAAGAGCAAATATGAAATGATAAGAATGGCTTATGACTCGTGGCCGTTTTCGATTCGCCGTGAAACCACGGCAGCGCTGTTCTACAAATTCGGGCGCCAATAGACCGTCTAGAGTTAATCTTTTTGATATTCGAAAAAACAATGAAAAGCCAATTGCTTGCTTCGCTGCATGCCGCGGATGTATGCCTGGCAAAGCAGCACCGCTCCATCATCCTCAAAGGGCGTTGTTTCCCTTTTGGTCATTTTCGGGGTGCCACCCAGCCCAAACAAAGCCTGCACCTCAAACATCAGCACGTAAACCGTCAACCCTAAGCGATAAGGCGACAAGCCCAGAAGCCCAGAAGCCCAGAAGCCTGAATCATTGTTGTTCCTGGCCCTTCATCCCCAAACGAAGAGTGTTCGGGAGGAGCGCTCAGGGTTGAAACTGTTGGTCAAAAGTGCACATTGTGGATGGATAGGCTAGTTTAACCTTTCGCTGTGATTTACCCAGTCTGGCTCGCTGCTGTTTTGTCTCGCCTTTTCATCTTACCATGGTTTGGGCAACATGTTGTTGCGGACCGTTGTGGCATGCTAACAATCAAGTCCCAGATTGTGGCTGTCATCAGGGGCCCAGGAATGCAACATGCAACACAGCGAAATGTTCGATGTGCTTTGCAAATCAAAGCCAAGATCGAGCATAATTCTTGGCATGACTACGCACGCAATGTGGGCATGGTGGACGACTCGTGGTCGGAGCCTGAAGGCCTACAAAAATCTCAACGTTCAGAACCCTGGCCCTAGGCCTCATAAAGAGCGATCATGTTGATGCGGGAATCCCGGCTCCGCACCAAATCCATAGCCTCACGAGATGCTTTCAAGATGTATTTGTGGCAGCTGCAGGCTGTAGGACCGTAGGATACGGATCTCTTGAAGCCATGCCATGTCGACCTCAAACACCGCATCTCCTGATGTCCTGCACCAAAAAATAGACTCAATTAATTGCAGACGAAATCTTCGAGGTGAGACAGACATGGAAACAGAGACACGCACGGTAAGCTGCGCAGGTTGGAAGATGCAAAACGTGCGCAGACTCTCTGCTGTCCAGTCACATCCGAGGCACTGTCCAAGTCCTGGCCGACATTTAACATGCTGAAGGTTGTTGAAGGTTGTCTCAGAGTCATGCAGTCATTTGATGCTTCCACTTGTACAAAGCTCTGGCTGAATAATACTGAAGCTTGTGCGCCCAACCTGCTTTGCTTGCAAAGGCCAGCAGCACCTGAACCGGCTGTGCAAGTTTCGCCTTCTGCACTGGTAGTACCTGGTAGTGACGAGTCCTGCACTTGTGCTTGAAGGAGCACCGTCCAGGGATAGGCTCCGGAGTCCAAGTCTTGCTGCCTCAGCGGACTTACTCAACCTGCAACCGACACGGTCAAAAGGAGTTGGGGCCTGTTGGTGGGGGCAGCTTGAGATCTAGAGTCGAAGCAAAACCTCCGTGGGCTTCAAGCGATTTGCCGAACTGCCCGCAACAGACACCTTCACCAACCCCATGCCCATGCACAAGCTCTCAACTCGAACCAAATTTGCGCAGGGCTTCCGGGCGTCTACGTTCCTGCATCAGCCTTCAGCCTTCAAGCACTCACCAAGTCTTCCGGGCAGCACAAGCTCCAAGAGCAAGTCCCTGGCCAGGACCTCAGCATGTACTCCTATCACTTTAGGACATGCGCCTTCGCAGGCCAGCTCTTGGTTCATCCCTCTTTATTCCCCTTTGCCTTTCTCGCAAACTGGGGATAAGGGCATGTCGGGGGGACAGCAAGACCGGCTTTGATGGAACCCTTGTGCCCTTTGTCGAAACCACGGTGGACCGGGGAGCCCCAGAGACTTTCGTCTCGGGGTCTGTTTGCAATTGTGGGGCCTAGACCTCACTTGGGAAAAAAGGATGCCTCAATTCCCCGATATCACTTACCCGAAATCACCAGCCAGGGCCAACCCCCTCCTCAAGTGTGAGGGGTTTACAATCTTTTTTCGCCGCACCAACTGAGATTTTGCAAACGGCATCTCGCAAGCTTCAGGGAGCCCTTTAAATTTTGTGAAATAGCGCTGCAATGGACGTCAATTCGTCATTTTGCAGGCCTCGGCCCATTTTTTGAGATGCAGTCTGATCGCCCGAATACTGCACGACATCATGACATCAAGAGTCCCCGGAGCGTACAAACCCCTCTCTCAGAGCCGACTTCCCCTTGATGAGCACAATCAAGTATCCCCCACAAGGGTCGGCAAACCGAGGGTGTCTTCATGTGTCCTTGCAACTAGCCGGGACACGCTGATGCTGCGGGCTCCGTGTACAATTCCCACTCCTGCAGGGTCAAGCCACGCCAGCTTGAAGATTGAGACTCCCGTCTCCAAGTGTGGCAAAAGTACTCATACTTGAGCGCTTTGGGGTTCGAAGGCGCCCTCTCACGGTTAGACGGTTAGACACGCAATGAGGCGCCAGTGTTCCGAAAACATCCAAAACCGAGCCACCAAGCTGCTGTCAACATCTGCATGTCTCAAGATCAAGCGGCCAGCCAACCCTAAAGTTCTGAAACCCTCAAGCCGTGCACGGAGTTTTCTGCCACTGTCACCCCCCTCAAAAAAATCATTGAAGCCAAGCAGCTTCTGAAGTTGAGCATCTTCAAAACGTCGAAGAGAGCCAGTACGTTGAAGCGGTAGGAAGGCACCACCCGAGTAAAGTAGGGAAAACGGGTGCCTCGACAAAAAGTGCCAGAGCAGCTCTTGAGGTGGTCACAAGCATCACAGATGTGTCGTCCAGCACAGACACTCCGAGTCGGATTTCCTTCAAGTCAGGTGGCGGTCGCTCAAGCTCACAGAGACGGAACTTGGAGAAACCTCCCAGCTCAGGGATTCAGATGTTGAAATGATGGGCTGTTTTTTGCTGCAGTCCGAAAGAGATCGAGCTTGGCACAAGCCCCAAGGCTTTGGCGAGGCCGAGTCGCTCTCAGTGCGCTCTTTTTTCAATTCAGAAGCCCTGTTCTCTGGGGTGCTATCGTCCCGATTGTGCTCGTTTCCCTTCCTGCTGCATGTGCTCGAGGCACGTGGATGTAGAGCACAGGAGAAGCTGACAAGCCAGTTGCGGCCGCGGTGCATTGTGGAATGCAAACATACACACACAACCCTTTTAACAAGCCAGCCGCACCAGGTAATCCTGGGCCTAAATCTTACATGCCCCGCTCCCAGCCGGGACGCGCACCGGTTCTACAGAAAAACCCGGGCTTCACGAATTAATTTTGCCGAATGCCTCCTTGCTTACGAATCTGGTAATCCAAAACGATGACTAACAATCTATGCAGCTGCTGTCGGCACTGTTAGCTTGCGCAAATGGCAGTCATCAGAGGAATAAAAAAATTCGGCATTCCAACTAGTTTGCTTAACACATGCGGAGTCGAGGCGTTATTGGGTCCGGTTTGTCGAAGCAGCTAGGCATGTTACAAACACAAAAGAACGCAGCAAAACCTTGCTACATGCAAAAGGAAAGAAGTCCATGCTCATCCTCAAGCTCAATCTGTACCCTGAGGGACGTCGCTGTACATGCGATGTTTCCAAAATCTTCCATGGAGTGTCCACAACACGAAGACATGACGGAGTGATCGCTGGTGGCATTCTGTTCTCGAGCCGCATGTTGCTTCTTGAGCACTGTTGCTTCGGGCACGGGACAAGCAACCCGGCCGGAAGACACTGTGTGCCAACAACACGTTCGGCCACCATATGTATATATAATGTAGAATGTGCAGGGCGATTTTGGCTCTGCACATTCTTTTGCATCTTGATGCAACATGCCATACCACACAACATCCTCCCCGAGAGGAGAGAGCAAAAACAAGAGAAAAGACCGAGTTCATACGGATTCATACGACCCGCAGCAGGATGCGGGGGGCATGAGGAACCCCAAGGCCCCAAGACTCACAGAGACCTATGTGGGGATGACTTGGACGAGGCCATGCGATGCCCGCAGCTGGTCCCATGGAGTGCGGTTGCCAATTTCTCCCCATTGAGAGCTGGTGACGGACGGACAGCCTATCTGACCCAAACCACAAGCAGGACTTTCTGTTTTCTTGGCGCAAAGTGGATGATCATGTGTGCCTATGTGAACGTGGTCTCACACTTCTCCTTAGCCCCAGGTACATTGTACCCACACTTTGTGCCTCAACTGCATGCTTGAAGCCCCTGGCCAGCACAGGAAACATACACATTTCACGCAACCACCCAACACGACCAAAGACTCAGTGCCAGCGGCACACTCGAGTTTCTAAATGGTTGCCGTCGTTAGGAAGGTTACCTTGCAAGACCTGCGCAAGCCAGTCAATCGATCTGCAATGACTTACCTTATTCGGAAGTCTTGCGCATTGTGCGAGCTCTGTTTGCGCACAGATTTGAAATGATTTGAAGTTAGAAAAACCTCGTAGTCTCAAGCACAAGACCTGGGATATTCTGCCGATGCTTCAAAATTACAAACAGTACAAACTGATGTGGGCTCAGGGGTCGCTACTCTGCCTTGACGAGCTGAAGAAGCTGCACCCCGGGCACCTGAAGCACGTTGTAGTGGTACAGGGCATCGTTGACGCCCTCCGAGGTACCACTGCAGACGGCGCCCAGCACCTCCATTCGTGAAGGGCTTTGAGGTGACAGCAGATTGCCAAGTACTCACACAGACGGCAGCTGCACCCGCAAAACACAACGACAACTAATGGACCTCATTCAAAAGCAAACCTCTTGGTTGGCCGTGAAAACCCCAAAATGCCATTGAACCGGACCAATACCGGATGGGCACCGCGTGCTTCGGTGGGCTGGCGCTGAGAGAAGCAATCGTCCGGCGGATTCCTATCCTTGCAAACAAGGCGAACACTAAGCAGAAAGCTTTGAACTGCTTGGGCCCTCTTGGTTTCGGCAATACTCGCATGATGCTTGGTTTCCTACGTATAACGACTGAGACCACCGACCAGCCATAATCCGCTCCCCCTCCTCCGCCCGCTTGAGCCCGCGAAGGGTTTGGTTCATCCCCCTTGGTTTGTTGGGCTTCCCTAGCCCGGCGTTTACTCGCACCCCGTGCTTTCTACAAGGCAGCAAGGAGTCTTCGAACGAGCCCGCTGTTTCTTATCAAAGTCACCACCTTGGACGTATAGCAACAATGAAGAGAGCAGGGTCTAAACTCAACATTACAGTCAACTGTCAAGAAGCACTGCGCTGGCCACCAGCTTTCAGCGTCTGCAAGCAACACCGATGCAAGTCCAAAGGCATCTCAGGCTTTGGATACGGATGCCCTTGTCCCAGGGACACAGCCCAACTGACCCACCCAAAGAATGCCAACTGAAGCAGTTCATCCCGGAACCAAATATGTGCGCGGGCGTCGGAGCGGAACACTCTGCATCCACCACATGGACTTTTAACCGATAGCCAGGGAGGAAGCTGCTGTCCTTCAGGGAATCAAGCGAGCACATCCAAGTTCATCCTGTACCCGAAAATACTTCCAAGCCCAAAGATTGCTTGCAAGACTTTGCAAGCTTTGCCAAAAAAGGATCGCCTCAATCTCCTGCGCTGCTGCCTGCAACAACGGCTCCTGACTTGCAGTCACTCTGTCGGCGATATTAATCACGCATGAGCCTGCTCATCGCGTGAACATGGTGAACTATGTCTGGTGGGGTTGTCATATGTTGGCTTGCTGAGAGAGGCCCTGGCTTGCCGCACGCTCACTCGGCAACATTCAAAGAGATCGGAAAGTCTTCTAATTTGGAAGAAAACGCAGGCATACTTCTCATGTGATTCAGGAAAAGCTCTGACACCGTGGCCACGTCACCAGCCGCGCCGGAATACCTTGCTACACCATCGCGGGCTAGGATGCGTAACGTGCCCTCAAGATGCTCAAGCTTAGGGTTGTCAGACGTTGTCAGTATCTGCAAGACGCAGAAAGGGCCGAGAAGGCTCCAAATATCTCCAAATACTCCAAGCTTGGGGGCTCCAGGCTTCTGAGGGTGCAAATTAACGATCCATGTTGGCAATCGGACCTTCCAAACCCCACAACCCAAGCCCATGCCTAGGAGCCCAAGAGCAAGCATCGCGCGAATCAGAGGTCGTGCCCTTTTTCCACTAGTCATCGCTCCAGGGACCCCGAGAGGGTTGGAAGGTATAGGACTTGGACTTCAATGCCCGATGTCAATTCCTTGGTGTCCCAGGCTGAGGCACGGATTCATAACCACGATGTTCAGCTCGTGCATGGCGACGCGGGTTGTGTTTGGAATCGTGGGGACGATGCCTGCATGGCTTGGCGGCTTAAACCCCAGCCTCTGGAATCACAAGTGTGGAGAAAATCACAACAAAAACGTCGCTGTAGACTATCGAATGTGGCACGCAGCCACAAAACCGTGGACCCTCGTTACAGAGTTGACAATCAAGGGTACCTCCCCCAGACTGCACATCCACTTGTGAAGGTGACGCGGAGATTGCGACAGTAGGGCTACCGGAACCCATCTAGCATAGGCTAAGCCTATGCAAGGCGCCCAAACTCGAAGAAGTGGGAAAAAGTCATGCCGAGGTGCAGTTGTTGGAGTGGTAGCGACATGGAGCAGGGTGGCCGTCTGTGGTGGCCATCGGGCACAGGGCAGGGCAAAGTAGCGCCTCTGCAGGAAGAGCCTGAAGGACGTCAGGGACATGAACATGCATGAATCACATGAGCGCACATGAGCAAACAATAGACTGCAGAACCAGTCACGAGTGCAATCAGCAGGAGCCAGCGCCGGCAGCGCGCTGCCTTTGGCAGTCTGCCGATCATTGCTGACTACACCGACTACACCACCACAGACACGTTGAGCCAAGTGCCACTACCTGGAGCCAAATGGATGCGCGGCACTTGGCTGTCAAAACTCTGTTCTTGAAGACCAGCCAATTTTGCACTGCGGCAAAAGGGCATTCGGTGTATCTCCAACAGTAATTACTGAGCAGACTTATCACGCCTCGCCCACGCAAAGACATGCGGGTTGATGTTCGCGCACAGCTTCAGATTCCGCTTAGACATCGCGCAGTCGAAGCTGTCGAAGGAATGAGGAAGAGGCGTCGACCGAGCACATTCTTTCTGAACCCATCTCGAACAGGACATAACAGAAGGATACCGGAGGAAGATTTCCAAGTTCTTGGCTTCAGCCCGTGCAAACTACTAAATAGACTCAATACCTTCTCGGCGTGCCGAGAACCAAAACTGTCGACATGGTGATCATTCTAGGCTTCAGCTGCTCCCCAGGATTCTCCCGGCATACGCGTCAAACAACTGACTGAGCTTGTGGGCGATGTCAGGGACTTGACGAGTCAAGCCATGCCATAGCAGTGGATCACGTTTCGCATGATTCACAGGTCAAGTTGTTCACCCCATCTTCTGCAGTTCAATTTGACGTCTGTGTGCGCAAAGACACGTGAGATGATGGTTCTGCGCATGTAGACAATGTAGCAATACAGCACAAGTCGCGCCAGAACTTGGTCCATGGAGGACCGAGCTTGAAAGAGGCTCTGTTTTGCTTCGGAGCTCTTGCCCTTCCCACATCAACAAACGAAGTACAAAAACAACCATCGAGCTGATTTGTCGTGCCATGGCACCGGCTCCAACACTGGTACCGTTTCCGGCGATCTTGGACTTCTGAATTGCCTGAATTGCCTGAATTGCCTGAATTGCCTGAATTTGGCCGCCGCTTTGTTCATTGGACCTTAGACATCCTTGGAACAACCCCGGCAGGCGCTTGGGTGGTGGCCATGTGAGAGAACACAGCTCAGAGCCGAAATGGATGATTGCTTTCTCACGACTGCGGACCCTATACCCACCAACCCCCCGAATAATGAAACAGAAAGCCGCAGGCGCCCCACTCCCCGCCCTTTTCCAGCTTGGGTCCGGGATTCAATGAGCGTTACGGTTTGAGATTTTGAGTTTCAGTACTACTAAAGTTGCAGCACTTTCCTTTGATTCTCGTAATTATGAAGGAGTAGAGGGCTTCTTTTAATTCAAAAGTTGCTACACAAAATATCGCAGTTGTGAAGGCTTGGGGTTGAAGCTTTTTGTCTCAGCAGGAAAACGTAGGACTCGCAGGTTGCGAAGGCTTGTTGAGGTTTTTGAGGCTCGGTCTAGTGGCTTCAGGATGGCCAAGGACCACATCACAAGGCTTGAAAACGAGGAACCAGAATGGACCTTGTTGAGGGAAGCCCCGAGTACAGGGCAAAGGGGCACTCCTACCTTGAAATCAATTAACATACCAACTCACCCATGCCCTTTTTTCATGGTAAGTGGAATTAGGAAATAGACTTATTCGTTGAAGGGAAGGGCTCTTCAAGTGCAGTGCTAACTGATTTCTGCCACTTGCCCTGCTTGCCCCGCTTGCGTTGGTTCCTTAGAGGAACGCTTTTGCCCCACTTGCGCTGTCTTAACAGCGAAGCGATTTCTGCCCCTTGCCCCACTTGCCGTGCTTGCCCCGCTTGCCCCACCCCCCCCCCACCTCAAGCCCCCCTCACGCCTTTGGGAAAGGGGAAAGTGGGTCAGGGCAAATGGAAAGTGAACCCCGGGGGGGGGGGCAAGTAGGGCAAGCGGGGATAAGCGCCCCCTTCCCCCTTCCAAAAAACAAAAGCAAGCCCGACAATCTGAGTGGGGGCCCAGCCCCACTTGCCCCACTGGCCCAAGCTACACACTCTGCATTCCTGTCAAGCTCCAGGCAAGCCGGAGAAGTGGGGCAAGCGGGGCAGTACCAATTAGCTTTGCTGGGCCCTCGCAATGCAACAGTGCTTTGTCTGCTCTCACCAGCAGCTGCCCATTGGCTTGGGAACAGCTTTTGCGGCAAGTTTTCTCGGGGTGTATTCGAGATGTGCTAGAGAACGATGCTCTTTATGGAAATTTCTTCCACGTAGTTTCACAACTCAAAAAATCGTTGGGAAGTCTTGTGTTTTAAGTAAGATGTTTCAATATTGAGTTTCGAGTGCAAACGTACATCCATGGTCTATACTTCGGCGAGCCTGGTCAAAGAATGCATTTCCTGCGGCCCAATTTGGTCTGGTTTCTCAGATCATTCTTTCGGAGATGCGCAAAGACCCTCAAGCAATCAAACCGTCTCAAACCGCCATCCGCTTGCCAAGAGAATGAAGGACAGCAACTCCGGAACCGGAGCAACAACAAAAAAGACAGGTTTTTTGTTGAGCCCCCCCCCCCCGTCCTCAACGCTGCCGCTGCGGGCCAGAATTCCCAGATGAGCTACTTATCGAACGCATTACACACTCTCCAGAGTCTGCCATGACCTAATTAGACGATGTTGCAGGCAGGTCGTACATGTCTTACATATGGGGCAGTATTGTTTGAACAGAACCTCTGCCTTCCTCAGAAAAACCTCCACGGCATCTCTGAAACGAAAGAGGGTCTGGCTACCTTCTCTGACCAGGAATGCCCTTTACCCATCCGCAACAAGCTCAATTCTCTGTTTGCAAGAAGACCCAAATGCAAAAGCAAATGAGTTTCCGAGAACGGTGGGCGCAAGAGTCTCTCCACGTTGCAGCAATTTGTCATGCTGCGCTCTCCCTTTGACGGCGAGCTTTGAGCCATCTCCACCTCAGATCGAAGCTGCTTTGCTGCTTTGCAGATGCGGTTTACTCTTTTGCCGAAACGACGCTTGCACTCCCATACTGCATGCATGCATGCAAGGGGTTCAAGGGGCCAATGCAGTTGGCGCATGCTTACCAGTTTTTTGCATGCAGGATATTGCCGGGCAAAACACAAGGGGGTGGCACGCTGCTTCTCGGCTCCCCGCATGTGGCTGTATGTTGGAGTTGGTGTTGGCGAGGCTCGGTAGCGACTTTTTGGCGGCTAACCGCACTTTCTAAGTAAGCACAGGTTGGCGACTTACAACGACTACGACTACGACTAGGGGTTGCGCGAAGTCTATGGTGTGCTCACCAAGGCTCTGCCAACTCTCTGCCAGTTCATATGACATTTGATCTTATGCCGCAAACAGGCCCCATAGATCAAGCGATCAGCTCCCCTACGATTCTCTGCGCGTGCGCGGGCAGGACATTTCATGATTTCTTCTATGCTACATACATTATGCATACCGCTTCCAGAAAGACTGTGTCTAGCCTCAAAGCGTGTGTTTCGTTTTTCATATAGTCATTCGAGAAAACTTGGCACCGGTGGGAAAAAAGATAACTGAAATTGCTGCTCATCGGATTGAACAGCTGGCTTCGGTGCCAAAGCGACAATCTGCAGACACTGTCCGAATTCATCCTTGCCTGGTGTCGAGTGCGGGCTCGCCAAGTTTGAAGATGGCGGCTGTACGGAATCCGGCACAGAAAGCACTGCTCATGACATAGCTGCAAGGTTCTTGGATGCGAAGCTTTCGTCTGATGCAGACTCGTTCGGATGGCGAAGAAAGGCAGATGATGAAAGATGGTGCGCTTGCGCCCCACACGTTTGAGCTGAACGCAGTGCCAGAAGAATTGGGTGTGGCAAGGTGTGGCAAGTGGAGCGCTGGCACTGAGGCCGCAGCAGCTGCCATGCGACCAGCCACAAGAGAATGTCTCCCGACAGCACCAGCGCGAGCCACAAGAGCCAAGGCAGGTATCGTACCTGCAGCTGACGAGATTCTGTTCGGAAAGCTAATAACATCTAGAAAGTTCTAGAAACGCTTTGGCTGAAAGAGGCAGTGCGCGGACTCGGAGGGCTCACTGCAGCCTTGCTGGCCCCAGCAGCCCAAGGCTGCAGATCAAAAGCCTGGACCCGTTAGGGCAGCGTGCTACATCTCAGGACGTCGGTAAGATGTCTGAGGCTCGGACTACCGGAGCTTCCCACCTGCGTGTGGCAAAAGAAACTGCTTGTTGTGTCGGCGTTGGTGTTGGTGTTGGTGTTGGCGTCGGCGTCGGCGTCGGCGTCGGCGTCGTCGTCGTCGTCGTCGTTGCTGCTGCTGGTAGTGCTGCTGCTGGTAGTGCTGCTGCTGGTAGTGCTGCTGGTGGTAGCGATGGTGCTGGTAGCGATGGTGCTGTTGCTGTTGCTGTTGCTGCTGTTGCTGCTGTTGTTGCTGTTGTTGCTGTCGCTGCTGTCGCTGCTGTCGCTGCTGTTGTTGCTGTCGCTGCTGTTGCTACTGTTGCTGCTGTTGCTGTTGCTGTTGCTGCTGCTGTTGCTGTTGCTCTTGCTCTTGCTCTTGCTCTTGCTCTTGTTCTTGTTCTTGTTCTTGTTATTGTTCTTGTTCTTGTTCTTGTTTTTGTTCTTGTATTTGTTCTTGTTGTTGTTGTTGTAACAGTAACAGTGATAGTACTCGTGATAGGTCAGGGCAAAGAAGGGCGGGGGCTAAATGAAGACGGCAGCGAAGGAGTTCGAAAAGCAGAAATTTGGCTGTGGCTCTAAATAGGGGTATGTCGCGGTGTCCCGCCACCCGCCTGTGCTACATACGTATGTCGCGCCCACTTGTTTCACACGTATGTCGCCGGGTTTGTCGCGGCTGTTTCGCGCTGTCTTGAAAAAAGAGATACGAAACCCATGCAGTTCCAAGAAGGGGCTTGTCGCAAAGGCTTGTCGCGGAGGCTTGTCGCGGAGGCTTGTCGCGGAGGTTTGTCGCGGACTGCTTGTCGCAAGCAGAACGGCTTTGTTACAAACCCTATGTCGCGGAAAGACGCCCGGGAGCCAGTTACATACCTAGATTTTTGAGCCGCGCCCATTTGAGTGATCAGACAAGAAAGGGGGTGGGGTCAAGCAAAACGCGGCTTGGACTGGCTTGGCATTGGAGCACCGGCAGCGCCAGCAGCTCTAGGAGTCACTGGAATTGAACAAAGAATGCACACTTTGCCTTGCTACGGCACGATCCCTGCATAGTAAGACCTGCGCGAGAGAACAAGCAAAGAACAAGCAAGGAGGCTGTACATGGCTGGCAGAGGGAAATCACCTTGCGAGGCCTCCAGGCTCCTGTCGAGTGCAAAGGTGCCCAACAGCGAGGCGAAAAGCAAGGCAGCAAGCTTGACCTGGTGTCGAAGCCAGACAAAAGATGGGAATCGTTCAGCAGCCACGACGCCACCTAAGCCTCACACCTGAAGCACATGAGGCAGCGCCGTCAACTGCAGCACCTTGCGCCAAGCCGGCTGTGTGTATGCTTATGTTCTCATCTGGCACGGCTCCGGCGAAAAACAACTCGGGAACAGCAGGCCACAACGCTCCTACACAGCGTGCTAATTTTTTCTTGCCCAACAGCCACAACATGAAATCATACGAAATTAAATCTCCGCAAGGAGATGATGGAAGTATAAGTGGATACTCTCTGAGACCGGAGCCTTCACACCAGTCGCCCCAGCAGCAGCCAAGCCAAGCGCTGATAGAGCTGCTGCAAGCAAAGGTGGGTTCTCCAGAATGCCCTGAGCCAGCTTCGTCAGCTTCAGCTGTACTATGCTGCGCTGCATCGCGTGAGGCACGTGCATGTTCAGGCTTTTTCGGGTGCAAAAACCGCATCCGTTAGACAGCAGTGCTAATCCAGGCATGGAATGCTCATTCATGTCAACACACTCGACCTGACAAGCATCCTTAGTTTTTCGCCTGCTGGTAACTCCTGATAACGCGTGGCATGTGCACGAAACCGTGTAGTGCACCCAAGGCAAGGCTCAAGACTGCCTGGATGTGTGTGTGCGTGCGTGCGTGCGTGCGCGCGCGCGTGCGTGGAGTGTGGGTGTGGGTGTGCGTGTGGGTGCGGGTGCGGGTGCGGGTGCGGGTGCGGGTGCGGGTGTGGGTGTGGGTGCGGGTGCGGGGGCGGGGGCGGGGGCGGGTGCGTATGGGTGCGTGTGGGTGCGTGTGGGGGCGTGTGTGAGAGCGTGTGTGTGTGCGCGTGCGTGTGCGCACGCGTGTGCGCGCGTGTGCGCGCGTGTGCGCGCGCGCGCGTGTGTGTGTGTGTGTGTGTGTGTGTGTGGGTGTGCGTGTGCGTGTGCGTGTGCGTGTGCGTGTGCGTGTGCGTGTGCGTGTGCGTGTGCGTGTGCGTGTGCGTGTGCGTGTGCGTGTGCGTGTGTGTGTGTGTGTGTGTGTGTGCGTGTGTGCGTGTGTGCGTGTGCGCGTGTGCGCGTGTGCGTGTGGGTGTGCGTGTGGGTGTGCGTGTGTACCATGTACTGCGAGCCTAGTGCTCACAGAAACAGATTCTGGCAGATCTTCCCAACACAAATCCGAAAAAGGACCTAGGACCAAGGCTCATGCAGCTCTTCAAAGGCGAGGGGGAAAACGAGCATGCGAAGTAAGAACAGGGGATCAAGAAGGCACGGATGCTGACAAGGAAGACATGAGATGGCCTGCCATTGTCATGCATTGAAAGCTGTTTCCGGAGGGTAAACGTTGCCTGCAGGCCAAGAACAGGGAAACGTTCATGGCCAGCGCAAGCAAACACCACCGAAGAGCAGTCTGATGATGATTGTGATGATGATGCTGATGGTGAGCCGAGAAAAGCGAAGGCCAAAGGGTCTCAAGAGTGCCAAGCAAAGCAGAGGGCTAACGTTGGAAACTCACTGGTAAGTGAGTGGGCGTCTGCGCTGTGCCACTGTGGGCCTAGTACTCACGCCATGACCCTATTCATGGCAATGGAAACCGAAATCAGAGACTACGGGAAACCACAAGCACGGAGTCGCGCCGCAGCACAGTAGCGAGCCTAGGAAAACTGGGCGGACAGCGCAGAGATGTATGCTATTCCCACTGGGCAGGGCACGTGTCTACATCAGGAGCGCTCGAACACATCAGGACCGAAGTACTAGACTAGCGTATGCCGGCGTCGTTTGTGCGAAGCCCTTGCTTGAAGCTGCTGGGTGAGTTTGACCCATGTGATTTTGTCCAGGCACACGAGGCTGAAACAGTGCAGATGCATAATGTTGAACAGCGCAGGCCAGCGGCACAATGGTTTAAACTGTCTAGCACATGTTCTAAGCAGCCGCAACCCTAATCTTCCAAAAGCAACACGTGGAGGTGCTTGTCTCTCTTGTTCATACGAGAGACTCTTTGCCTGCCTGTGTGGTGGCTAACTTCCCCAAGGTTCTGACGGGCGCTTTGGACCAAGTGTTGAGGCGGGTTTGGATTTGGGCTCTGATGGCCCTGCGGGAGCAGTGAGGGCGCAGCGTCCTGTAGGGCATCGTCGAACAAGCACAACAACGCTGTAGCATGCTGTCGTGGTGGAGGTTCGTTGACATGGAGTCTAAAAGGCGTGAAGGTATGGAAGAGTTGAGGCCGCAGCATGCCACGCCAAATGCATTCTTTCATACTTGCACTCTCGAACTTCGGGGCGCACGCACGCAATCATGAGTTTCCAGCAAAGCTGTGGATCGTAGTAGTTCCCTTCCAATCCGGCGATCGCAGAATCATCACTGCACCCGGAAAGGTACAGCAAATCGTGAACACTCACTTTTCCTGGATGTATGACGGCTGTGATACAATAACAAAAAAGACCAGCTTCGACTCACAGCCATCTACACAAGCACACAACGACCACGAAGACTCTGGGGCGGCACCTGTATCCATGGTCTGCCCTTGTAGTTCACAAGCAGAACCGCTATGCCTGTTCAGGCATCTGAAAAATTCATGTGACTGTCACGGAAAGTCATGCTGCGACCTCAAGTCTTCAGTAAGTCACAAGGATCATGTGCTCAAGAGACCCGGCACTTGCTTACCAAATGGTGGTGTCGCCATGCAGTTTCATTCAGCTTTTGTTAATCCAATATACCGGGACTTGTTCGATTTGCCGAGTATTGACTATGTTGCATTATGCCTTGCACCAACTCCACGTAGAAGACCACGCTGTTGAGAAGATTCGGCCTGCAGGACAAGCTCTTCACATGGACATCATGTCACCAAGACAGAAACGTGTCTCCCAACCTGAATGGGCGTGAGAATAAAGCTCCTGGAGAAAGGGAATCCCAGAAGTCAAAGGGCTGTGCCTGGCAGACGAGCTAAGGACTGTTTTGAGGAGGGCAATTGTCAAATTGTATGTGTCTTCCATCTCTCGCTGCCCACAAAGGCAGTGGTGAGAAGTGCTGGCATCAAAAGGAAAGCCCCCTGCTTTTTGGATGCTGTTCAACATGCATGCCTGCAGAAATCTAGACATGTACTGCTCGCATGGCTTCGACTAACCTTTGAAGTATGATACGAATTAGATGAACGAATATTGTACAATCAAAAGGAATGCAGGCTCCCTCCGCCCCAGAGAGAGGTGTCCAGCAAGCCTCTTCAAGCGTACCCGTCCTCGCCATGCCCCACATCCCATCTCCAAAAGCTTGCATCTGCTGAGGACAAAGGGTATGCTCAGCAAGCGGTCGGGTCGTACGGACAGAAGCTTCAAAAGCAGAATGAAGCTTCGTCGTTTCCAACGGCTGGGACTTCAGGTTGCTATGTAGCAAGCGCAGGTTCACGGATGCCGGCTTCTCCCGTCACTGTGTGGAAAGAGGCTCCGCAACCTACATGTCAGCGTCCACCGTCTGGCTTGACGTGCTTAAGTTTAGATACGTCACTAATCGTCAAGAAATCGAACCCGTTGTTTTCGCCATCAATGCACGTGGAACCACTCCATGGGAGGTTCGTTCCGTATCAAGCGCGTGGGCACACGTGTGTTTCGTGATTCTGGCCTGCGCCCATTGCTGAAACTGCAAGAGATCCGCCATGGCCGCAGGGCCCATCGACTCCTATAAAAAGGAGGTGGCAACGTGAACACAGCATGATGTGAGTGCAAAAGGGGGTCCTTTGCCCAAGACACTGCACGACAGAGGACCCAAATATGCACCTTTGTGCTTGCACAGTGCTTACAGGATGCAAAGGCAGGACAGTGACGAACACAAACGCGCACCAAGTCCTGCACGAATGCTTGTCCAAGTGTGCTGAGAAGTGTGGCAGGCTCAAAAATCGTAGTCGCCGGCCGAACTCGAGCAGGCTGATGTGGGGCCTGCAGATGTCATGAAGCAAAGGGAAACATAAACACGGGAACAAGTGAGCGCAAGTTTACCTGCAGATGCTTCCGTATACTACCAGAATTTTCGATTGCCAATGGCTTGAAGACCAACCCGGGCAAGAGGATGGGACATTGCAGAGCACGGGCGCTCTTTGCTGCACGGCTTCTAGCCCCAAGTGCCAATCAATGTTCATCATGTTTTCCTTTGAATCGGAATGAATGCGTCACATTAGTAAACTAGAGATGAGCTCAGATGCGCATCAGAGATGAAAGCGGCATCGAAACTGCGGAGGGATTCATTCTTCTTTCCGCTCGGATTAGTCTTTTGATGCTTTCGTTATGTTCTTACGAGTCTGGTTTTTCTGTTTGCGGTTGGCAGTTGGCTCTTTCAAAATGCCGTCACGACGGATGTGTTCAGGTTGCATAGAACGAGAGCATAGAAGCAGCCCTGCGCGGTACACGGAACTGCTTCTGTTGCTCTTTGCTCTTCTTGGTTCTATCGGCCTCTTGCAAGACGCTCGTCTCTACGGCCACGCTGAAAAAATGTCCCATGTCCATTCATGTCCGAATGTTGAAAGGCTCCGGTCGGATCTCTTGATTTGCCTACCTGAGCGACTGTGAGGTGTCATGCGCTGTCTCCAGGGCTTCGAGACAGCCCATGGAGATTGCTGCGCTGTTGTCTCATGTTGGTTTCGTGCTGGGATTGGACGCAGTCCATTCGGCAACCGCTGCAGTTCCATGCCGCTTCTAGCTAAACACTCCAGCCCTCTGACACTACCATCAAAAGAATGCCCACGCCATCTGCCATCTTGAGTCTTGCTCGGCTTACCTCATCTTGTTTCTGTGAAGCATGCGCAGCCCACCGCCAAGCAAAGACAGCAAGCTGGCGCGTGTGTGGACTATTCCAGAGCAGGAATCTGGCATTTGATGCACCACATGGAGAGGCAGACAGCTATCTTCCAACCAGGCCTTGGCATTGATGAAGCCAAAGAAAGCAATCGAGAACGCAAAGTTTGAGAAGATCATTTGAACTTCCTGAGTTCGCATCAACAGCACCTGATTTGTGCAGCGCCTGCCTCGAAATAAAGAATTCGGCACCAGCACAAGCAGTGCTGCGCTATCATTCAACCTTGCGTCCACAGACCGCAAGAAACAAGATCGTTTAAGCACTGCAAGACAGTGTCAATAGTTACGGGCCACTGGATTGCCCAAAGGATGGCGGTCCGACTGGTTTCGTAACGTGAAGGGTTCTAAGCCCCGAGCGGGAGTTGCAAACCCACGGCTTACATGTAGAAAGGCAACACTACCTTCTCTGCAACATCTATAAATGAAGAAAAACGATAGACCTTCGACTTGCGGTTCCTTCCGCCGTCGACATTTGGTGCAAACTGGACCTGCTATGTCGACTTGTGACAACACCTTCGCAGTTCAGGACCCAAAACCTATTGCATCCCATCTTATTGCTGATCGATCACCAATGATCACCAAGCTTCTGATTGCCGGGCGCCTTCCACTGAGAGTGCAGCATACCGCCACATGGCAATGATGGTGCCTATGTTGCGCAATGACAACGCGGCATGGCATCGGCGTGAACAACTTGACAGGGCCCTGGACCAAAGTGAGGGGAGATGGAACGGAAGGGCCGGGCCTGGAGTCTCCTGGCCTGTGTGTGTGTGTCTGTATATATATATACCTACACACTGGCGTGCCAAGCTGATGGCACAGGGCAAGATCAATGTGTTTTTTTTTTCGGGGGAAGGGGGGCCGGGCGGGGCGGGCACTGAGGGGCGGGGAGGAGCTCTGAGGGCAGAGGGGAGTGACTCGTTTCGAAATAACTTCCTTGACGTCGTTGTGCTGATATTTCGAAATGGTGAGATTGGCCATGGCCTTGCCGACATGTCTCCAGCCCCGTCGGTCACACACTCACGTGGCCACACACTCACGTGGTCGCACGTCGTTCAGGGGGCAACTGGGATTGACTTGTGACTAGTGTGCATCATGCCACTGCCTGGCCGCCGTGATTTGCATTCTAAGGGCGGGCCATCGCCAGGCGCATGATCATGCTTCGCAGAGGTTTTGGAAAGCTGTGCATGAGTTGGTATCCTCGGAAATTACATGACTCTCCACTTGACTCCAGAATATGTCCCCGTTCGTTTGGTCCTGGCCACGGCCCGCCGGTGTGACAAGCAACGTTGTTGGTCGACGATCATCAAGAACTGCGCTGAAGAGCACAGAGTCCCTACAGTGTACCTACAGCACCTGCACTGGCAACCACGTCTGCATCCAGATGCAGCAGTGTTTTCGACAGTTGGTGAACTCATGGCCGATCTCCACCTTGTCGCCTATTTTGCAGATTCAGCACACAGGGGAGATCTTTCTGTGCGGCCATGATGTACATACAATCCCTTGATCTTCGTGATGTGTTGGGTGTTTGTTCTTGGGTTGCGTGATGCTTCAACAGCGGTCTGTCCCGTGGACTTGTCCTTTTAAATGGATGTTTGAATTTCTCTAAACAGTGCTCTCTTTACATTCCTTACAAGCTGTTCGAGCGATTGAAGATTCTCACAAACTTCCTGCTGAGGTCAAACTCCCGACTGCAAGTACACCACCAGTGGCCTCCCACCTTGCCATTGCTAGAACGGCTCAGCCACGAGGTGCTGCATCGGCATTCAAGCTATACACACAGGGTTTCTGTATGATGATCCACTCTCCAAGTTCAGAGCGCCATCTAGAAAATCAAAACTTGGACTGTTCACCCCGAAAACAAACAAACACGCGAACAAACATATACACACACCCCATCACACACACACACACACAAAAACCCGCACGCACTCGCGCTCGCGCTCGCACTCGCAAACGCACTCGCTATCGCTCTCACTATCACTGTCACTCTATAGCAAAGACAGAACTGCACAGCAGCAGAAAAACGGCAAGCAGGCAGACGGCCAGGCACAAAGAGACACACAAAAAGCTTATCAGACTAGCTGCTCAGCACCAGCTGCTGCATTTGCATGACCATGGAGCATGATGTGCACTGCCCCTGCCGCAGGATCTCTGGCACTGCTAGCAAAGTTCGTGAAGTGAAAGGTGCCACCGCGGAAGCTTGATCTGCCTGGTTTGCTTCCTGCTCTTCCTTAGCCTTTCTCGTCGCCTCAGCCAGTCGCCGCTGACCTTGTCTGAGCAGCCTGACCAGCTCCTGCCATCCCATCGGCTGACCAGCCAGTCGCCGCCGCTCCGCCTCCTGAACGTACCACGACCTCTGCTCATCGATCTGCCGGCTAATCTTGCGCTGCAAAGCCTGCGCACGCTCTTGCTGCAACCTCTGCCACCGTGCTCTCATCGCACCGTCATCAAAGTAGTCAACATCCAATGGCTGCATTGCCGGCCATATTGCCACTCCAGCATCAGCTGCAGCTAAAGCACCGACATCGTTGCCCCCATCCCCGATCATAACGACGCGACCTTGCTGCAGCTGCTTGAGCTTGGTGCCAGCGCCCTTCAGCACGTCCACAAGCCTTGCCTTGCCTGGCGGCGACATTCGAGCCAGAATTGTGGCATATCGCATGGAAGTCCACGCTTCTTGACCTGCTTTTTCTAGTTCCGCTTCAGTCGCGGCCAGGATTCTCCCACTTTTGACAAGGTTTTGTGCTGCAGACAATGGAAGACCTCTACTCGGTGGCGTGGAACCTGATTGAGCGGAAAGCGTGCGTTCCTGCCAACTTCCATCGCGAAGCTCCATGATAAGGCCTGGCTCCAAGAGTGTCCGGTGGAATTGCCCGTCCTGCATGTTAAGGAGCTTCAGAGCGGGAGCGAAAGCGAGGAGCGACAGGAAGGAAGGCCAAGTTCAACTCGCGACATCACAAGCGGCACAACTGCCAAAGTCCCAAGCGGGTGACTTGACAATGAACCTATACCCCATAATTTGCTACCGATCCCTGAATATAAATGGCCGAACCTCCGTAGCTGCATTCTGCGGGACCAGCAAGCCAGCTTCGTGTGCCGCGTGGCAAGCCGTGGCCAAGGCATCCCCAGTCACGACTGCGGCCAAATTCAGCTCACATCACGCTTCTGTGGCCACACAAGCTACCTCCACGCACCATGCGCACGGAATCCCAAGCTGTCCTGCGCAGCGAACACCGGCACGCCGCAACATGCGTACCGCCTGGCAAGACGCGGAGACGATGAGAGGCTTACAAAAGCATGCCAACACTGCCTGTAGCTCACGCGTCTTCAACTTGTAGCCTGTCTATCCAAGACCAACCATTTAGCAGATCATTGCGGACCGTCAGTGGCCGCCTTCGGCCGTACCACAGCTTCAAGTTTTTGCTATGCGGGCTTACTTGTGCTTGCACCAGTTGCATTCTCCTACGTTCTGGCTCCTCGCAAGGGCAAGTCATCTTATTAACCGCACCCCTGGGTAGGTCGAGCAATGCCGGGCTCTGTAGACAAAAGAGAAAGATTCTGAAGACCCGTGGGACACGTATGGCACACACTCTAGAAATCACTATAGAACACGCGGTGGCTGTCAGTTGACTCAAGGATGATCCAAATATACCCAAACCATGCCTCCGAAGCCTCCGCCTTACAGCGATTCTGGAAAGCAACGAAGCCAGCAAAGTGGAGCTTCTCCTCAGCTTCCTGTCAGTGCAGACTCTTGGCATCTGCAAAGTGCAAAATGCATGTGGCTGGTCCAACAACTTACATCTCACAAAGCTGTAGAGCAGTGCGCCATCTTGCGCCTCCCTTGTCATCGAGGACCATTGTTCTCCCTCCACTTCCTCGTCAGGGAGCTTCGGTCACTGATGCAGCTGGAACAGCTGGGCAAGCAAGAGACACAATTCTCGGACTGCCGTGCGTCTCCCGGCCTTCCATGCAAGGGCCAGCACTCTCAACCCACATGCGCCAAAGAAGGATGCCGCTTCATCATAGTTGCTCGGAACGTCAACCATGAGTTGCGACAAGGCCTGGGCATGTACCAGGACTCGCCAATTACTCTTGGCTGCCTCATGATGCTTCTCGCGTGTTTGCCACACAATTTCACCGACGATACCTACCTCTGGAGCTCCTTTGCACAACACCCGCACCGTTGAGCCCGTTTCCATCATCACCTGTCATGCTGTGTAATGCTGTGCACACGTGAAAGTGTGACTGAACCGTGCTTTGAAAGCTCAGGTCACAGGCCATTGCAAACGCGCAAGTAAAAACTGAGTCAAAAGCTGTCATGCGTCTCAGCTTTGGATCAAAGTCAAAACGCCGAGCCGGAGGTGGACATTGCGAAACACCTGGCATTTTGCAGCAACGGCATTGGCAAAATTCATGCAAAGCTTCGGGTTCACAGATTCACGTGCCACTTCTCATGTAAGGGCGAAAACAAGTCGCCTAAGTCCTCCAGCACAGCAGTCTCCAAAGGGTCTCCCAGTAGCTTCCCACTTTCCAACATAACATTTTGACAGTGCCACAGGATTTGGTGAGCAGGTGTGGTCAGCTGCAAATCTTGCAGGGGGGCGAGGCAGTCGAGGTAACTCCTCTCCGCTTCAGTAAACAGATGAGGCAGCATGATTCCAGCTGTTTCCAGCTTGTCTGTGGTCAAAGTCCCTGTCTTGTCGAATAAGCACGTGGACATTGATGCAGCCTCCAATACACGCAATGGCTCTGCGCAAATGATGTCCTTCGTCCGTAGAACTTCCAGAGTCCGCTGGACGGCATATGTCATAAGCAATGGAAGGGTTGGTTGTATCACAAAACTGAGGATGATACTGATCTTCAGCCAAACATGTTCACCTTTACCGCGAGTGACGATTTGCAGTGCTGCAAAAGTGGCGAAGCCTAGCAACAGAAGCACCACTTTCAATGTATCCTTGTCTCGGATGCTTTCTTGACTGGCCATAGCCCTTCGCATCAACATGCCCTGCTTGCAGTGAAAGCCGGTCTTCACCACGGCACAGATGCAACTGGCAACTTCCTTGCTACCTTGAACTGCCAGTACCTTTGTGCCTGCGTACAGAAAATGGTGCGCATCCCATGTGTGCAGGCTTCGTGCTTCTGGCGGCACTGCGAACTTCGCGACGGGGCCCGATTCACCAGACAAAGCCGCTTCACTCACGGTCGCAGACCCATCCAACAACAGCGCATCACAGGGCACATCCTTGTCGGGATGTACTTGTATTATGTCGCCCGGCACTAGATCTACGGAAGGTTTGGAAATCCACACGCCTGAGCGGAGCACCAGGACCTGCTTGGATGGCGAAGCTGCTGCGCGCAGCTGGGCTAACGACTTGTGACGAGCCATCGCAGCACCAACCTCGAAACACATCAATGTCCCGAGGGAGAGGACTGTAAATTGCCAATACCCGTCAAGGCCCCACACGAAGACAGATGCCAACTCGAACAAGAAGATCGGGCGAAGTAAGCGGGAAAGAACCAAACTACGAACCGGTGGAACTGCGATCCTGTAGTCGTTACTGCCGAACTGCTCTTGTCTTTCCTCCACAGCAATCGCTCCAAGCCCACCATGACTCCGTCGCTCCAACAATGTGGGGAGAGGCTCTGTTGGCTGTGGGACTGCAGTACCGGACAGGTCAGCACCAACACCTTGCAGCTCGTACTGCTGGCCATGATACCTAAAGCGCAGGGAAGAGCACACAGACGACACCTTTCGGAGTACAGCTTTGCCTGGGGCCGCACACACCAAGACCCAACTTCCTGAGCTTGCTTTCTGAGTTCTGCGAAAATCCAAGCGCGACCTTACCAATGCTGAAGTCATCCAAAAGCCTGCCAGAAGCAAGTGGGCCGAAACAGCTCCAACAACTAGCATCCAGCCCCAGGCTCGGCATCTAGCAAGGAAGAATGAATATCCATACAGTGTCACAAGAACGACACGTCGAGCAGAACGACGAAATAATGCATGCTGCAATGCGACCACTTGCACCACTTCTTTGCGGGCGTCAGCATTGTGCAGCGCAGTAGCTCGTTGCTGCAGGCAGCTTAAGGGCTTCCGTAATCTTCCATTAAGGCCCCAAGGCTGTGAAACTGATGGAACTGCGCTGGCTTGCGCCAGAAATGGTGCGGGGGCCCAGCAACAACATCGAAGGCCCAGGTCCAACATGTGCTGCTAACATCAAGAGATGCGTAACGGCATAAATCATGCAACATCGATTAAGAACTGTTATGCCTGCTAGGCTGTACCAAATTTGCCAAAAGCTCATTCTTGGAACGCCTTGGCTCGTCCACATCTGCCAGCTACCTTTACACATGTCTTTCATGCCTTAAGCAGTTCAAAGCGACAAGTGAGCAGGCCAAAGACAGCATCGAGAGGCTCGACAGGATTACCTGAACCGTTGAACACGCAGACGCCGCACCAGCTTTATTTACATCCAATCGGCAGGCTTTGAGTGGCTGAGACAAGCAGCACGAACGATATTGCGCATAACGCTGTACACTGTACACATCTGTACATCGCACTTCTTGATCTTATTTGCATGCGTCGCTTCTCGAGAGATTTCAACACCCATGCTTGAAGCATCTTGAAGCAGCCTCTGAAGCAAAGCTTTTCTGATTACCCACCCACAAACTAGGTCTTAGCACCGCCGCTGCAACTGAGCTTGCTGCGAAGCACGCAAGACGAACGAGTCTCAAATGTCGGGAGCGCCCCCCAAGCGGGTGAAGAACCGGTCGACAAACCTTTGGGCACGGAGCCAAACAGAATACAGAACTTGACAATGAGCACAACATTGCAGTACCTTGCGCAACATTGCGATACACAACAATACACGACAATACACGACAATACATACACAACAATACACAACAATACACAACAGTACACAACAATACACAACAATACACAACAATACACAACAATACACAACAATACACAACAATACACAACAATACACAACAATACACAACAATACACAACACAGGAAACAGACACTGATGCCTGAACAAGTGCAAAAAGGAAAACGTGATTTTGCAAAAGCAGCGGCCGGACTTCAGATTTTCCGGAGAGGAACATGCATGTGGAAACCTGGTAAGTCTCAGAACCGGGTAATAAGGAAGGTTTCGAACTGCCGCAAAGGCGTCAAGCCTTTGCTCATCCGGATAACTAGCATCTGCCGGCGTAGCTTCGAGAGATTTCGAGAGTGCATGGCTGATGCTGATGTACGAGAAATATTTCATTCACGAACATGGCTAAATGATCCTGCTGGGGGGGTGCGCGGATCTGGGCTGGCTGAAGGCAGAAAGGGGACCAGGATTTGCTAGTTGTCAGCTTAGCATCGTAATCGCCATTCAAGAAGGGCCAGTGGGAGCATTCATTCACTTTGGCATTTTGCACGCACCAATCGCTGAAACATCCATCTCACCTGGACACGTCCTTCCTGTTATTCTCGCAGCCGAGATGCTCATCGCACCGTGACTCCACGATGAGCTGTGACCAGCGTTTCTGCGACTTCCTCGCTTCATTCGCATATGGCGGTGTTCAAGCATGGCTTGCAAGTGGCTGGGAGGGGCCCACTTTGCACTATAACAAAACCTGAGCTCAATCCCAAGACCTGAATTGACTAAGTCAGTACCCAGCACCGAGGCAACGTAGCAGCGGAAAGGTGGAGGATGTTGTTGCAGCAAGAAGAAATTTTCACTAGCTCACAACATTCACTGTCTGAACACTAGTACTACAAGGCAAAGAAAAGCCAGCCGGCTCGCGGAAACATCAATTCCAGTACTGGAAGGGCGCACCTGTCCTCCATGCCCGGAAGAAGAAGAAGAAGAAGAGGAGAGAAATCGAGGGGCGCGAAAGAGAACAATTTTCCTCCATTTCGTTTTCCCAGTGTCACACCGACTTGAACCGTGAACTCAGGTCAGGGCCCGCCATGCGACCCTTCCCCTCCTGCTTAGACGCAACATGAAAAGTTGACCATGCTTCTTGCGGTAAGGCCAACCACTGCAGGGAAACACATGGAAACACTTGAGGAAGTCGACCGAACCTGCGTTTCATTCGGGCCAAGAATGGGCCAAGCATAGTGCTGGAATCGACGTTTCATGAGGCGGCTAGACTTACGAGTCATGGGTCACGCCGGCGTGAGACGAAAAATCACAGGAGATGCAATTGTTCGTTTCCCTCAACCAAAGGGGACCACCCCCCTAATCAAACATTAAGAACAACGACCATAACTTCTCCCAGGCTCCTCCCGCTGTGCGCTGCCAGGCAAAAACGTGCGCTGATGTACTGTTGGGTCGATATCGGATCCCCCCCCCCCCCCCCAAATTTACAGTAGACCCGGTCAGCGACTCATTGGCAGATGCCCTCCCCGAATTTGTCGGATCGAACTTTTCACAGAGTTGCCACGGTTGGTGCACGGTTTGCCTTACCCCTTTGAGGGTGTAGGCTTGTACAATGAGGTACACGAAGGTTTTGGGCTACTCGTAGAGGCAAATGCAAGTCATTCGAACCGCAATCCTCGTGAAAAAATCTTCCCCTACCCCTTTGCTCAGACTCAATTGTTTTGCTCAGGCTCTCTCTCACTCTCTCTCTCTCTGTCTTCTGCTGCCTTTCCTGCTTCTCATTTGTCTCTGCTCTTGCCCAGCTCTCTCGCTTCTTTTCCCTTACAGTGCCAGCTCTCGCGTCTTTTTGTCTTGGGGAAACACACAGCTCCTCCTCCTCCTCCTCCTCCTCCTCCTCCTCCTCCTCCTCCTCCTCCTCCTCCTCCTCCTCCTCCTCCTCCTCTGCTTCTTCTTCTTCTTCTTCTTATTCTTCTTCTTCTTATTCTTCTTCTTCTTCTTCTCTTTTCGGACTCTCTCTCCACCATAACTGGCCTGTCCCACCACAAAGGTCGCAATCGCACTTCCTTGCGACGCCCTATCTGAGCGGTCGGCAGCCCCGCGCACCCTCGGTGCGGCAGGAAATGATCTCCACATTGTTCACGTACGACATTGTACGACGAAATACGCCGGACATCGTCGATTGACCAAGCACTGCACCCCCCAAATCTGTCGCAAGGCGAGAACGTTTGCTCCACGAGTTAGTCCGGCAGTCCATGAGATTCTCATTCACCTCACATAGACTTTAGGCGGTCAATGAGGGTTTCCCAACCCGATGACACGGCACCGTCCTGCGTGCAAGTTGCAAGAACTCGCGTGCAGCCTCTAGGCGCCATGTTCGGAATTGCGCAGAATGGCGCCACCTGCACAAATTCGAAACCAGAATGTCTCAACCAAAATGCCCGGCCCAATTGTGAGCAACGTACTTGATTCGGGGACACGTTCCTTCCATGTTCTTTTTGTTTGCCCATCTCCTGCTTATTATATGGTGCCTGCAGACTGGTCCCCATTACAAGCATCAAATCGACGTCAGAGGTGTGCTGGTCCAAGTCTGTGTCGCAGCACGCCTTGCTTATACATATGCCATGGGATGCGGGCTGCATGGTTTTCTGCTACTTGAACAGCTCAAGAGGCAAGAAATCTCCGTGGAAGTGGATCGCCGTAAAGCACAAGGGTCTGGTCACCTGACTTATGCTGCGAATCAGGACTTGCATTGTCGTTCCCATTCCACGTGCACTCCAAAACTCAAAACCCCAAGCATTATGTTGAAGATTCTCTCAAGGCACTTGACGACGTAGCTTCTCGCAAAAATCTTGCAAACCAAAGCTGTTTTCGGTCAAGTCACGAAGCGAACCATGACACTCAACAACCACATCACGCGTAATGTCCAGCGATGAGTGGGTGTGCAGTCCATCCACGTTCTGGCGCTGCACAGTTGCGCGTGCCAACACGACACGATCAGCTATTGCATGGCGCTGACATCATGCAACACGCGTCCTGAGTGTATATCCGTTTCAGCCAGCCACGGCGAAAGAGCCAGGAACAAAATCTGTGGGTTGCGGTTGGCATAACCGAGTTGACTGACCACCGAGTCATGAGCGGAAGAACCTCAACCGGACGGATTGCAAACAGCAAGAACAGCATGTCGCTTGACATGATCGCTGTCATTGAACATCCAATCAACCGGGCCTTAGCGTAACTGTCCGAGCCAAAACACGTCTTGCTTCCATATTTCTGGATGCGTTTGACAAAAGCTTCTCGACAGCAACGACTCTGGATCAGTCAGGTTGGGGAAGCGCCAACCCACCGCTGCATCTCGGCATCGCGCTCATACAAGTCAAGACATGTCAAGACAAAACCGGAAGGAAACAAGAAATCTGCCCAAACCTCTTGAAAATGCTGGCGAGTTGCGCAGCGCATCGAAAAATCCACCAGCTGACCGGAAATCCGGGATTCCCGCTGCTGTGCTAACTCCCGCGCCGGTGCAAACCACAATATGTTGATAGCGGCCAGCTGCCTGGATAGAGTTAAGTCTTGTGCTGCTGAAGATTCAGATTTCATGATAATTCGTCAGAGATACAGATGCACTCCTCTCTCCTGTCGTGCACGCCGTTTTCTTGTTCGCAAGCTAAAAGGAACGCAGTGGCGGTGTCGGAGGCCATGCAGCCCGACCGGCAGGGACTCAAAGACATTGGCTGCGAGGCGGACCACCGGAATTGAGTTTTTGGCCCCCGCCCATCAGCACGGACGTCACACAAGCACACGGGGCAAACGTGAATTGCAGGGCAAGTTGGCGGGGAGGGGGCGCCCTCCCCGGTCGTGGTGGTGGTGTCTGCCGGCATGGAGCGGGGGGTGTGCAGTGTCGGACAAGGAGTCGGGGGTCATGAAGCGCACACATAGGGAAAGAGTGCAACACGGACGCGCACAGGGTCCTGGGAGGCGGGCAAGCCTAACAGGAGCCCAGAGCGGTCTCGACAAAGCGGAACTGCATGCCGTGGACGGCAGTGCCAAACTGTCCCAAGGGAGGTACCGGGTGCTCACAGTATGCTGCGGCCCAAGGACTTTAGAGTCGCCGCCAAGGGCGTCGAACCCTTGCAGGGGGCTCGCTCACCACCTGGCTTCCCAGGCGCATGTCCACTTTAATTTAACCCAGGCAACACGCGCGTGCGGGCCATGAGCCCAGTCTACCCGCCGCGCCAGATGGCCAGCGCATTTGGGTCGGAGACCCGGCACTCCCCTCCGACCTGCAAAGCATCCGTGTTCTTGGCACGCCCCTAAGCTCGGCTG